CACAACTGGATGTAGCCGTCGTGGTCCCCCGGGCCGCTGTACGAGTCAACGGGCTTGTCGTGAAGGGTAAATGTGATAGAAGATGGTCGAGCCGTCGCTCTCGACACCTTCCACCTTCACTTCGCGGCTACAGCCCGGGCCATGGCGCTCCAGGAAAGGTGACAGCCACTGGCTCAAGCCACCGCCAAAGTCATCGCCGCAGTCGACGTAGCGGCTCTCGATGTGACGGGTTTGTCATAATGAACAAGAGTGAATGCCTAGGAAAGGGGTGGGTACAAGTAGGAAAACCTAAAACTGTTGTACCCCATAGGAACTACCCCACTACAGCCTAAACATACTATAGCATATAAGTTTGACACACCACCATAGGCAAAGTGGGGGAGAGCAAGGGGTCACAAGACCAGTCAAGAAAAGCAAGCAAGCCCAGGGTGGATCACAACGTTACCACGCATTCTGAGCGCAAGTAGATGGCCACGAGGCCAGATCACATGCAGAGTTATACAACAGTGATAAAAACCTAGCAAGTGAAAGCATGCAGGTATAGATATATAGATCAAAGTACAAGCAAAGTCAAGAAGTGAGCAAGTGAGGCAAGGTAGGCCAGTACAGAAACGCTGATGATCACAAGGCGGAAGTGCCTTGGTGAAGATATCAGTAGTGTTGGCCCAAGAGGCCACATAAGCAAGACGAAGCTGACCCCACTGCTGCAACTCTCGAGCAAGAAAGTAGTGAAGGGCAATGTGCTTCAATCTGTGCTCCAGTCTGTGCTCCTGATACAGGGCCAGCATGGCCTTGTTGTCGACGTACAGAACTGGAGGAGAACGATGCGGCTCTCCCAAGTCGGTCAGCAGGTAGGTGAGCTAGCGTAACTCCTGTGCAGCCATGGCCCCTGCGTAGATCTCAGCCTCACAAGCTGGAGCTGAGACCAGAAGACGAGCGGGTAGACCGCCACGAAACAGAACCAAAGCCAAGGCTGAAGGTGTAAACCCTGTGACGACCGCTGCGTAGCCAAGTCGTCAACCCAAGAAGCGTCTGCGTGACCAGTGAGGACAACTCGAGCCCGTCCTCCAAGCACTAGCCCCATGCCCGATGTACTGCACAAGTAGCGCAACACCCTCTTGCTGCAGCCATGTGCTCTGGTCGGTGTCTCCCAGGAGCACATAGCCATGCCAAGATGCTAAGAGGGTATGCCAAGTCAGGTCGAGTGCAGGTCATCAGGTACAGAGGCAGCCCACAAGCTCTGGGTACGGGCCACTCGGCTTTACGGACTCATCCGAAGGCAGAGCTGAGAGCGAGAGACCGGTAGGAAGAGGAGTGGCCTGTGGTGAGGAGTACTGGAAGTCGAAGCGCTGAAGGACCTGCTGCACCATGTGTGACTGAGTCAAGGTAATGGTGCGCCGTGCTCTGTCCCGGGTGATCTGCAAGCCAAGATAGCTGCGCGATTCACCTAGGTCTGTGCACGTGTGTCTCTTCTGCAGCGCCGACTTCACGTAGGCGAGTCCCTCTGTGTTAGCAGTGGCAAAGACCAAGTCGTCGACATACACGAGGATGTAGAACAGCGGCAGCAAAGTGTCGGTGCGCAGAAACAGCGACAGGTCAGCAGTAGAAGGAGCAAACCCAAGAGCCGCAGCGTAGTCCTCAGTGTGTCGTGCCACTCTCTCGGGGCGCCTGGTGGAGACCGTAAGACTAGCCGCCGGAGGCTCCTCTGGGTACCAGGAGGAAACAACCCAGTGAAGCCAGGGGGGCGGCGCAGCCAGATCTCCTCGTGCAGGCTGCCCTGTAGGAAAGCAGTGCTGAGAGTCAAGAGAGTGAAGCTCGTAGTCACGCTGAGCAGCGACGTTGCAGCAGAACCCGAAGAGTGGTCATCTTTGGGGTCGGGGAGAATGTCTGGAAGAAGTCAACTCCCTGTCGCTGATCGAAGCCTCGAGCAACATAACGCGCCTTGAAGACAGACAGAGAACCTGGCGGCCGCTTCACCCTGAAGATCCACATGCCACTGACGATGTTCGCTCCAGGAGGGGGAACCTCGTCGACCGTAGGTGCCTGTGGACTTCCAGGATGCTATCTCTGCGTCCATGGCTGACTGCCACTGAGAGGAGTAGGGACCCTCTATTGCCTCTGCGTAAGAGCGCGGGGTCGGGATGTCTGGTGCATCGCCGCGTCTCCCTCAGGTGCAATCAGCATGGACACCAGATGAGGTATAGTGGCTGCAAAACACTCAAAGGTCCTCTTGCCTGTCCTGAAGGACGTCCGTGCCAAGAGCACACTCACCCCCGACGGACGGAGGACAGACAGACTCAGACTCAGCAACAAGACTCGCGGCGTAGTCTAGACGACAGTGAGCAGCAAAGTTCGACTAGCTCAGCAACTAAGGCAGACGCAGCTTTGGACTCAAAAGGAAGGGTCAGTGGCAACCGTGGCCAGGAGACGCGTGACAGTAGGACTAGCAGCACGAGAGAGTCAGACTCAGGGTCCGACCGTCAGCAAGGGAGGACGCAGGAGGAGACGGTAGAGGGACACACTGTGGAGCAGTGGACGGACGAAGTGCCATCTAGTGCATGCCGAGGATAGGAGGAGGACGCAGACACGGAACACGACGACTAGCGCAAAGCAGTGCGAACGGGTGACGCAGGACGAGGACGCAGGCTCACGACGCTCAGCAAGGCCTCCAGTCGGACCAGTGTAAGGAGAGGGAGCAGGCAGTGGGGAGGCGGGCTGTAACTGCAACTGTGACGGGACAGGCGGTGGACACTCTAAGAGAGGAGCAGGACTAGTAGAAGGCGGGAGACCAAGAACCTGCTGAAGGAGCGGAACGAAGTATGGCAGCGGCCGCGCAGCGCCTCCAGAACCAGCACAGTCAGCACCAGCACCCCCAGCGTCAGCTCCAACTCCCGTAGCAGCACCAGCAGCTCCTGCAGCGCTAACTCCTGTACCCCGAGGAGCACCAGCTCCAGCAGCACCGTTAGCTCCAGCACCTCCAGCAGGACGAGCGCCAGCGCCTCCAGCTCCAGCCCCTGCAGCACCACTAGCTCCAACACCAGGAGCACCTCTAGGAGCTCCCGCTCCAGTAGCACCAGCACCTCCAGTAGCTCTAGAAGCACCTCCAGTCCCAGCAGCTCCAGTACCCGCCAGTACGAGCACCTCCAAGATCAGTGGCTCCAGCACCTCCAGCGCCAACCTCAGGGTCGGCCTCCACACCAGCACTAGTAGCTCTAGCGCCCTCAGCTCCAGCTCCAGTAGCACCCCCTGTTAGAGGTCCACTGGTGATCCCCGATTGATCCTAGGGAAGGGTTACAGGCACTTTGGCCTGGGGGGTTATGGGCGCACTCACCCGCTACACAAACAAGCCCTTTTATCCCATGGTCTAGTGGTTGGGATTCTGACATGGTATCAGAGCGAAGGTCTCGGGTTCGAATCCCAATGTGTGCACTTCGGGCATCCCAGTGCGGGTGGGTGTTAGAGGTCCACTGGTGATCCCCGATTGATCCTAGGGAAGGGTTACAGGCACGTTGGCCTGGGGGGTTATGGGCGCACTCACCCGCTACACAAACAAGCCCTTTTATCCCAGTGGTTATTGGTTGGGATTCTGACACCCCCAGCTCCCACAGCACCACGTCGGCGGCAACAGTGCCGAGAGTACCACTTCACGCAGCTGCTGGGAAGAGAGAGTGCCCCCAGGCGCAGTACGGTCAGACCCAGTACCCTCAGGCTCAGCACCCACGCGCGCAGTGCCTCCAGTCGTAGTACCCCCAGGCTCAGTACCTCCAGGCTCAGCACCCCCAGTCACAGCACCCCCAGGCTCAGCACCCCAGTCTCAGCACCCCCAGTCTCAGCACCCCCAAGCTCAGTACCCAGTCACCCCCAGTCTCAGCACCCCCAGTCTCAGCACCCCCAGTCTTAGCACCCCCAAGCTCAGCACCTCCAGGGTCAGCACGCTCAGGCTCAGTACCTCGCGCAGGACCAGAGTCGACAGCTACCTCGACAGGCTCGACCGGGTCTACCCGGGAAACACCTGAGGGAGCAGGAACCTGGGGAGGTAGGGGGTCTACCGAAGCTGCACCTGGCGTGAGGAAGAGTGGCGGAGGGGGGAGTGGGGCAGTGCGGTAGGGGAAGAGATGGTAAAAGGGGACCGACTCGTGAAACGTGACGTCCTGAGAGGGCAGGACACGGCGCGAGGTGGGGTGGTAAAACTGCCAACCAGGCGCGTCAGGGACAAAGCCAAGGAAGACACAAGGAACGGCACGGGAGGAGAGCTTGTCCGCAGACGTATCGCGGACAAAGGCACGAGATCCCCAGATCCGGAACACCGACGCATCTCCAGCCTCTCTCGTCCAACGCAGTGTCGGCGAGGTCTCCGGAACGGAGACACGGGCCAGAGGTTGAGCTGATGCGCGGCGTACCGGACTGCAAACGGCCACATAAAATGGGGGGCAGCCGCATGGATCAAGGAGGTACGAGCGACCTCCATGACCAAGCCAATGCGGCGCTCAGCAACCCCATTCTGCTGTAGAGAGGCCAGAAGTGTGAACGTCTGCTCAATGCCCTCCCCCTGACAGAAGGCTCTCAAGAGGCCAGAGGAAAACTCACCACCTCTGTCAGAGTGTAGTCGCAAGACGGGAAGGTCCGTGCGAAAGCGCCTCTCCAGCTGGAGACGCGTAGCGCGGATCCAAGGGATCAAGACATCAGGGACCTCACTGTCACAATATATTTATATCTATTTAGTATAATCTGCTTGTAGTGTAGCTGTTGTGTAATTCCCTTGTATGGTGGTGCACCTCTTTCATCTTTGTTAGGTTGCTATATGTACTCGTGTGCTATAGTGAACCTCCAACCATTTTCAATACTCCTTGGCACAAACTACTCGACACCCGTTTGGCCTAGGCTACTAAGCCTAGGCCCTTAGTTAAAACCCGTACTCTAGTTAAGATCGTATCGTAACATGGTATCAGAGCTACTAAGATCCTACTCCTAGGTGAATGGGCCCACCACCAGCTGTCGATATGACGCGCCCCGTCGATCAGGTCGTTGCGCACCCCGTTACGTGCATCGCTGGCGCGTCGCTCGCTCGTCGCCCCACCGGCTCGAGGTCCCGCTGCTACTGCGCTAGCGACGACGAGCTGCGCGAGGGCGCTCGTCGCGCCCCACCGTTACAAGCCCCCCCAGTTCACCTGCGGACCCACGAGCAAGAGAGACAGCGGATCCGCGGACCCGCCTTCAGAGAGCGAGCCAGCGGACCCGCGAACCTGCCTTCAGCAAGCCCATCGACGGACCCGCCGACGGGCTCGTCACAGGGCCTGCCGACGGACCCGCCAACGAGAGCGCCAGCAAGCCCGCCTGCGACCCGCCACCTGCACCCGCGCGACCCGTTCTTGCCCCGCTTGCATCTGCTGCGCCAGCTACTGCCGTTTCGTCCCGTTCCCGCCGCCCCACCCGGAACCCGATGCCCCACCTGTACTCGCCCGCCTGCCCGTCTCCCCCCCCCGTAGCAACTGTTTGCGTGTGCAGCGGCGGTCGCTGTGGGTGGGAGAGGGAGGACGGGAAGGGATTGGCGGCCCAACCGACGCGCTAGCCAGCTCGCACCCCGCCCATCTCCCGTACGCCATCCGCATCTGCATGACCCGTCCCTGCCCCGCCTGCATCTGCCGCGTCAGCAACTGCCGTTTCGTCCCGTACCCGCACTGACCCTGCCCCTCCCCGTCCCTCCCTCGTCGCGCCTTCCCCCTCTACCGCGCTGCCTATGCCGTGTTGGGCGGTGGTGGGTGTGGAGGACAGTGGGGGCGGCGGCGGCGGGAATGGCGGGAGTTGCGGGAGTGGCGGGGTTGGCGGCTCATGTGGGGAGGTGGGGGAGGCGGGGGGGAAAGGGGTGGTGGGTGGCTGTCAGCAGTGAACGCCAGCGCAAGCGCCAGAACTGCCGCCAACGCCTACCGCCCGTCCGTCTTCCCTTCCCCCCTTCCCCGTCGCCTTCACTACCGCGAGTGCAGCTGTTGGGGGGGGGAGTGACATGGAGGGGGTGATCAAACTGCAGCAATTGTCACCACGCCTCCTCCTCTCTCTCTCTGCCGCTGTTGCTGCTGTGGGGGGGAGGTTCAGGGGGTGTGGGTGGATGTTCCAGCTGCAGCAACTGCCACCACACCTCCTCCTGTCATCACCCCCGCCCCGTGTCTCCTGTGCTGCTACCCTGTCGTTCCTGTGCCCCACCTGTGCTGTCCGTACCTGATTGTGCCCCACCCGTTACACCCGTGCTGTCCGTACCCAGTCGTGCCCCACCCGTTCCACCCGTTCTGCCCGTGTCCTGCCCGTGTTCTGCCCGTGATTCTGCCCGTACTGCTGCGCGTGATTGTGCCCGTGATTATACCCGTGTGTTGCCCGTATTTTGCCCGTGTTCTGCACGTGATCCTGACCGTGATTCTGCCCGTGATTCTGCCTGTGATCCTGCCCGTGTTGCTGCCTGTTCCCGTGCCATACTGACCGTGCACCTCCTGTGCTCCCGTGATCCTATGCTACTCATGCTTCTTGTGCTTCTCGTGCTGCCCTGTGGTCTTCTGCTGTCCCGTATTGCCCGTGCTTCCCCGTGCTTGCCCCGTGCCCGTGCCCGTGCTTTCTGCCCGTGTTCCCTATGCTTTTGCTCGTGCTCTACCCGTGCTGTTTGTTCCCGTGCGTGCCCCACCTGTACGAAATCCCAGCCACTAGACCTGTGGGATAAAAGGGCTTGTTAAGTAGCGGGTCAGTGCGCCCATAACCCCCCAGGACAACGAGCCTGTAACCCTTCTCTAGGATCAATCGGGGATCACGAGTGAACCTCTGACACCCCCCTGCACTGGGATGCCCGAAGTGCACACACCGGGATTCGAACCCGAGACCTTCGCTCTGATACCATGTCCGAATCCCAGCCACTAGACCACTGGGATAAAAGGGCTTGTTAAGTAGCGAGTCAGTGCGCCCATAACCCCCCAGGACAACGAGCTTGTAACCCTTCCCTAGGATCAATCGGGGATCACCAGTGGACCTCTGACTCTCACCCTTGGTGCACTAGGGGAAGACCATGGTGTAACGCGTGTAGTCGTCAACTATCAGCAGAAAGTAGCGCTCTCCACCCTGTCCACGGACGCGGGCTGGGCCTCACACGTCCATGTGAAGGGTCTGCAGAGGAGCCTCCATCGGGGGGAACTCAAAGGAGTGAGGGGCGGCGCGCTGCTGCCCCTCGACATAGGGAAGGCAGGGAGGGGCAGGGGACGGTGGCAGGGGAGGCAGTGACCTGGGGAGACTAGAGACAAGGGAGCGGGAGTGCATGCCACGAAGGCGCTGCATCGAAGGGTGGCCATGGCGATGGTGCCAGAGGACCGTCCGGTTCGACAAGGTGCGACACAAGCAGGGGGCGGACAACTGACCTGACGCAGACGCAGACGCAGCTACCTGAGGGGACTTAGTGGTTGGAGTGTATAGGTCCGACCCCGGCTACCGAGTGAAGGTAGCCAGGTGACGACCCGTCTGAGCACACGTGCAGTGTTCACACGCTCATAGGCAGGGGTGAACTGGTGAACACCCGCGTCCTGGAGTGCAGAACCCCCACCAAGTTCGTAGAGAACGAGGGGAGGTAAAGACCCGACAGTGTGCCGGGCGGGACAGCAGGACAAGGGAGGGCAGTGGTGGAGGTCGCAAGGACCGGACCCCCAGAGGGGTCAGCCAAGGAGACATCTACCGGACGAGGGAGATGCGCGAGGGCAGTGCGGTCGCGAAAGAAACAGCGGGAAGCACCTGAGTCCAGTGTGAAGGTGTGTAGTGCCTCAGTAGACGCCGTACCAAAAGGCGCAGACTCACAAGTACCTGAAGCAGCAGACTCACCAGCACCTAGAGCAGCAGCCTCAACAGGACCTGGGGCAGCAGACGCACTAGCACCTAGAGCGGCAGCCTCACTGGTCTCAATGTCCGGGTCGGGCGGGACACACAGGTAACAGTCACCCTCAGCACTAATAGTCAATGCATACATGACACCAAGGATAGCATCAAAGTCAAGAGCAAAGATATCAATGTTCTTTTTAAGCAGATCAGCCCAGCGAGGCAACTCGGAGGCGTCAGGGAACTGTGCACGCCAGGCGTCGTCGAGACGAGAGAAGCAGCGCTGCTGTGTGTGGGGCCTCCCACACGTCTGACCAGCGCGGTCACCTGTGCGGATGACATACGGGCAGGTACCTCCACCCCCAGACCCCCCATGCTGAGAGTACCACTCACGAAGCTGGTGGGGCGACGGGGTCTCGCCGAGACGCTACTGCTGGCGCTGGACACCACCAGACCCTCCACGCTGCGCCGGTCCACCCCGACCACCACCTTCGCCGCCGCCACCACGCCCACTGCCGCCACCACTACCGCCTCCACCCCGGCCTCCTCCACCACCACTGCCGCCACCACCCCCGCCGCCGCCACTGACCCCCCCAGCCCCGCCACCACCCCCACCACCGCCACCACCCCCACCACCGCCACCGCCTCCACCGCCTCCACCACCACCACCCCCACCGTCACCTCCACCACCCTTGCCCCTATCGCCCTTGCGCCTCCCACTAGGAGCAGACGCAGGCCCGACCTCCTCGGCACCAAGGTAGCCGACAGCAGCAGCAGAAACGACAGAGGGGGGAAGGGGAACACCCCTCAAAGAAAGGCGTGGGGGGGTCGCCACGAGAGGCACCTATAGCGACTATGCTAGCCTCAGCTGCAAGCAGGTGCTTCTCGAGTAGGTCAACGGTGAGCTCAGTGGGGCAGAGGGCAAGAAAGTGGTCCCTGACTGCGCGAAGAGAGTCAGGGAGACGGGTGACTAGGTGGTAGAGAGTAAGGTACATTTGGGGGGGGGGGGTTATTGGCAAGAAACTCAGCAGGAAGGGTGGCTCTGTAGCAAATTTCACTAGTGCGGAGGTGAGTAATGAGGTCAACGACTGTGGGAAAGGCGGACAGATCGGAGAAAAGGTAAGGCAGCGAGAGACGGCCGATCGTAGTAGAGGCAGGCGAGGAGTAGCGCGCTACTACAGCATCGTACAGCGCCTTAGCAGTCTTGTGCTGGCAAAAATGAGCGCGCTCATCTAACGGCAGGTGGCTGCGAATGGCTAGGCGAGCGTGAGCGTCAGGAGTCTGCCACTGGGAGCAAGAAGTACTGTCAGCAGTCTCAGCAAGCGCAGGAGCAGATCCGGAAGCGTGATCATACAGCGAGATATCGTTCTTAGCAGTGATCTGTAGGAACAGGTGCAGGTCGTCGAGCCAAGCATCAAACTGAATCGGACGGCCCTCAGCATCGAAAGAGAGAACGGTGGGACTAGCCATGGTGGCAGCAGTAGTAGTAGGAACAGCAGTAGCAGTAGGAACAGCAGTAGCATCAGGAACAGGAGCAGCAGTTGCTGCAGGTGGAGCAGTGCGGCACAGCAGGGCAGCGCGACTCGGTCAGGGCGGCGCGACTCGGGCAGGACGGCGCGGCACGGCTCGGGCAGGTAGGGCGGCCCGACGGCGGGCCTGCGCGCGGTTTGCGGCTGCGCGTAGGCTACGGCTGCGCGCGGGCCGCGGCTGCGTGTGGGCGGCGGCTGGGCGCGGGCTGCAGCAGCCGGTGTGCAGCAGCCGCAGCGCACGGGCTGCAGCCTGCGTGCGGGCGGCGGCTATGCGAGGGGGCGACCTACGTGCGGGCGGCGGCCTACGTGCGGGCAGCAGCCTACGTGCGGGCGGCGGCCTATGTGCAGGGCTGTGGCGCGCGGGACAGTACGAGGGGCGGGGCGCGCGAGGGCGCACGAGCAAAGAGAGGCGCACGAGGGCGCGACTAAGGCAGGGCGCACGAGGGCGCTTCTAGCGGAACGATGGGCCCGTAGTAGTAAGCGGTCCTAGGTGGCTAACCTAGGCTCGTAATACCATGTCATAATGAACAAGAGTGAATGCACTAGGAAAGGGGTGGGTACAAGTAGGAAAACCTAAAACAGTTGTACCCCATAGGAACTACCCCACAACAGCCTAAACAGACTATAGCATACAAGTTTGACAAGGTTGTCCGCTTGATCTGCGCATGCAAAGACACCAGATCGAGCTGGACAGACAAAGGCACACAAAGACAGAGTTAGAATGGTAAATAGAGTGACATGCGTAGATATAATCGTACCACCTCACCTGTCTCTGCTGAAAGGTCTTGTTCAAGATGTTGAGTTGCTCAAGCACATCAGCCAGGAAGTAAAGGAAGAAGTGAAAACGGTAGGAGCTTGCCAGCGCGTACATCTTGCTGTTAAGCTCCTTCAGCAGCACAATCACTACCGGCAAAATAGCGACAAGGCGACGGACGACATCCCCCTTTGACAGCCACCGAACGGAGTGGATGCCTTGCACTTCAAGGCTCGTTTTGGTGATAACCTCTTGCAGATCCATAAACTGTGCGTGGCGCGGTCCCGACCGACCAAGCAAATCGGCCACAGCCCGGATGAGATCGTCGACCATGTCGAAGACGGGTAGTTCCTCTGCCGCATCCTTCGCTGCAAATGCCTCCCTGCAAGTGGAACACATCAAACTCGAGACATTAGAGACGAGCTCGAACAAGATGGTGTAACGGGCTAAAAACAAAACAGCGGAGTTTACTAACCAGTGAGCGATGCAGTGAACGGAGACAAGGTGCGGGATTTTCTGTCGTAGTCGGACAACCAAGCCGGCCTTAGACCCCATCATCACTCTTGCGTCGTCGGTGCTAATGCCGGAAATCCTCTGCAGATCGACACCGACTGCCTGCAAGTGGGAAAGCAGTATGCTCAGAAGAGAAGAAGCGTCTGCCTTTTCCACCGTGATCAACTGCATGAACTCGGTCACGTGGACGTTGTCACGGATGAACGAGGCGTACAAGATCATGTGCTTCCCCCTGAGCCGATCCGTGCTTTCATCGATGCAGATGCCGATGAAAAGGGCTTGTCATGATGTGCTCCAACTTAGTTGTCTGTAGCTAGGTAGCAAGGGCCTGCGTGAGCTCACTGAAGCTGTACCTGCCCGCAGGGAAACCGAAGACAGGAGATTAGAAGAAGGTTAAGGTAGGAACATCAAAACACCAACACAATACAAGGGTGACTAATACTCATGATGTGTAGTAGGTGCCATATCCCTTCTCAGGGAAGCCCTGGACACCCTTGCGCGCGAGGTACTGCACCAGCTTTACCCATGTTCCCATGGGCGCATCGCAGGAGCTAATGAACAGCATGGAGTTCAGCAACACCATGACTCGGTTTTTCTCAGCATCGACGGCGGCTCGATGTTGGTCGATCCGTGGCTGCTTTGAAGCTGCGTTCGGCAAAGCCTCCTTGTTCTCCATCGCCAGCTTGTGTTTCGTCGTACCGGCGTGCTTGCGAAACGCCTGCGTCTGCACGTCGATCGCCCCTCGCCCTGTCCGGCCACATCGTCGCCTGACTCCGGCATGCTTGGTGCATACACTGCACCTAAAAGCAGGGAAACCGGATTTAGATTTCGTTAGCACAAGCCACGGGAACCTCTCTGACCACTTAGTTTTGTACTTCACAAGAGCGTCTGCATATACTGCTTCAATGGCGTCAGAAATGTCTATGACCAATGATGGACGAGGGGATGTATTGTTCACGACAGGCTGCTCGACAGCGGCGTTGGAAGATGACATTGCCCAGCTCAGTGTCGACTGCTTCAGCTGAAAGGTGCGCGGGGCAGAGGACTTCGTTGTTGGCGACTCGACAACCACTGTGTCGGACACGGCAGCCGGCGCAGCAGGCTCACTCCGGATGGAATCCGGGCTTGAACAAACCGGTGGGTGGTCGCGGTTCACCCTCTCGACTAGAGCAGGCTTTGCAGTAGGAGGCCTGGGAGCGAGGACACCAGTGCCAAGCGAGCGCAGGAGCATATCAAGCCCCGTCCTGGCTTCCTCTAGGCCGTCTAGTTCATCATCACTACTATCCATGCCTGCATCATCATCGCAAGCCAAGCCTTCTGCAAGGCCGGCCATGGCTGAAAGGGGAGAGCGTGCCGAGCTCCAAAGATGCTAGCAAGGGTTTGAGAAAACCAGGGCGAGAGGCGGGGATTGACAGTGCAGCTCGCCTGGTGGGTGGGTACGGTGGGGTCATCAAGAGAGAGCCATAAAAGAAGGCCCTCTCGTTCTCACCACCCAACTGCAACGCGGCGCGACGTGGGGGCACCATTCACGCACTTGGATGCAGGTTCGGGGTGGGTGAGATGGGGTGAGGTGGGTGTCCTTGTCGTGAGTGCGTGCGGTCCGTTGCTGTGATGCACTGGTGGTGGGTGATTGGCCCATAAGGGATGTGATTGGTTAAACAACCAATCACATCACTTAAGCATTCTGTCGGTGACAACGAAGCAACCGACGCGTCGGGAAAATTCGTTTTCCCCCCGTGATTGACGGTGGATGTACCTGGACAGCCGAAACTCACGGCTCCAGCACGAATTTGTAATAGCGTGGATTCAGCCTACACTCTCGTTACAACTCTGATCAATCAGCGAGCACTTGTAAAAAAACGCTGGAAAATCAGCCAATGCATTAAAAAAAAAAAAAACCTGAACAGCCAACACATAAAAAAAAAACTGAATTATCAGCCAACACATCAGCCACATGTCTGGGAAATCAGCCTCCAGAGCCTAAATCAGCCTTTTTTCTCTGACTTCTGAGGCCCTACTGAAACATGCCGAATCTAAAACCTACATCAACAAGCGATCTAATTGATTGGACCCAGGGCTAATTTTTGGTTTCCAGCAACCCTTGTGATCAGTGTTGCACAAGGCCAAAAACCTGATTATCAGTGTGACACCTTGTTCAAACCCTGATCCACGAGGGTTTTCCTAGTTTTTTAAAATTATACCCTGTAGGATCAGTGTACCAGTTTTGCAAACCCTGGTGTATTGATATTATCGTTGGCAGGCAATGACGAAAATGTATTTCTGGCCAATGGAGGCCCCCCTCGTGCCAGCTCAGAGATGTTGCCTTTGCCAAATTTCAGTTTCGACAGTTGGCATGCGAGAACCTCGATACGGGAAAGGGGGGGTGGGTAGAGAGGGGGCGGGGGGTGGGGCGGCTCGGGGAGGGTATGTACTCGATTCAGGGTAAAACTCGTTACGAAGATCGGTAACCCTGGGCCGTCAGTGTACCTCAAACGTAAACCCTGGCCTATCAGGAAAATACAAGCTCCCGAAAAAATTACCCTAAGGCATCAGTGTGACAGCCAAAAACCACCCTGATTATCAGGGTATCAGGGTGATTTACCCTGATAAAATTAGCCCTGATTGGACCGTCCAGATAACCAATAAGAAGGCCTGGTTCAATTGTTACTCGATTGCAACACAGCCTCTACTGCCACAAGCGCATCTTCAATCTCCATGGTGCAGAAGTGCAGCGCCCTCACGTGCACGCGTGCCACGCGTGCCGCGGCTCGCAGCAGCACAAAGAGGTCCACATGCACCTCGTGGAACGGCATGCGCGCCCTCGGGCGCTCGTAGAACACCAGCTCACTGCTGCGCAGGGGCTGGGGGGCCGGGAGGAGTGGTGGGGGGGGGGGGAGAAAGGGAGGAGGGGAAAGGGGGAGGAAGGGACTTTGAGTGGGCCGGTGATGAATGGCATGCGCGCCCGCGGGCACTCTGTTGTAATTGTACATTATATACACCATTCATAGGCTAGAATAGGTGTAGTCCCTTATGTTCTTGGGGGGTTGGGTGTACACTCCAACCACACTTTGTGGTTGGTCAAGATTGGATTTGGTCTTGGTCCTTGGTTGGCACTTGCCAACTTTTGGTCCTAACACCAACCAATCGCTACCTAGCTACAATGTGGGGTTTCCTCCTCCACAAGGCATCACTCCCATTGGCCAACTTAGTGGCCAATAGGGTTAGCTCCTCCTCCACTCTTTTCTTCCTTGCATGCTTGTATTATAGAGCCTCCTTGGCTCATTACTCAATCATTATTGAATCCTATCATGGTATTCAGAGCCAAATGGCTCACGCCGTCTTCCCTCGATCCTTAGAGCATAACTCACTCTCCCTTCCTCAACCCTAGCGGACTATGACTTACATCCGCCCTCCCGCACCTCAGATCTAGCCTCCTGCGGCTCAGTTCCGCCCTCCCGCACCTCAGATCTAGCCTCCCGCGGCTCAGTTCCGCCCTCCCGCACCTCAGATCTAGTCTCCCGCGGCTCAGATCTACTCCTCCGCGGCCTCAATCCTCCCTCCCGCGGCCTCGTTCCTCCCTCCCGCGGCCTCATTCCTCCCTCCCGCGGCCTCAATCCTTCCTCCCGCGCCCTCGTTCCTCACTCCCGCGGCCTCATTCCTCCCTCCCGCGGCCTCAATCCTTCCTCCCGCGCCCTCGTTCCTCACTCCCGCGGCCTCATTCCTCCCTCCCGCGGCCTCGTTCCTCCGTTCCGCGGCCGCAAACCGCTCTCCCGTGGCAGCAATTCTCCCTCCCGCCGCCACGCCCCAATCTGCCCGCCGACGTGGACGATCTGCGAGTCGACGCGGACGACCAGCGCGGCGACGTGGACGACCAGCGCGGCGACGCGGACGGCCAGCGCGGTGACGCAGACGGACCGCCGGAACGGAGCCGCGGCCAAACCTGCGCGCCGTCCCGGACGGCTGCCTGCGATCGCCACAACCTCCCCCTTCACCCGCCCCCTGCCCCACACTTCCGCGCCAGTCTCCCCTACCTCCTCCCCCTACTCCACCCTTAACGGCACCGGCAGCGGCACCAGCAGCGGCACCGGCAGCGGCACCAACAGCGGCGCGTGCAACGGCAGCAGCAGCAGCGGCACCGGCAGCGGCACCAGCAGCGGCACCGGCAGCAGCACTTGCAACGGCAGCAGCGGCGGCACCAGCAGCGGCACAGGCGACGGCACCACCAGCAGCACCCGCAGCAGCACCAGCAGCAGCACGTGCAGCGGCCGCAGCGGCATCTGCAGCGACTCCCTCACTGCTTCGCCGTCATGGCGTCGTCGGACTCATCGGTCGACCTAGCGACCATCGACGCTCTCGAGTTGTTGGGCGACAACTCCGCCGCCAACTGGCATTCCTATGCCCACTCCGTCGAGGTGTTGCTCTCCTCGGTCGTCGTCAGCGGACATACCCTTCGCTCCATCGTGTTCCAGGAGGAGGGTGGACTCCAGCCCATCGCCCCTTCCGCCCCCACTGGACCTGCTCCTGCTGAGCCCGGACCCGAGCCCGAGCCTCCTGGCGATCCTCCTTCTTTTGCACTGGATGTCAACAACCCACAAAGCGTGGAGTCTGCCATCCGTGCCTACCGCACCTCCCTCAACGACCACCTTCGTTGTCAGCTGCGCTACGAGGACGACAAGCGCACCTACGACGATGCTGCTGCCTGCCACCACGAGTACCACGCCCAGCTTGCCACTTACACCACACGCCTCGCCACCTACACCACTGAGATCACTGCGTGGCGCATTGCTGATCGTCGAGCTCTCGCCATCCTCCTCGCCACTATCCCCTCCTCCCTCAAACGAGAACTTTCGCCAACCTCCTCCTCCCACCTGTGGCAACTGCTTGTCGACCTCTTTGACTGGCAGGACATCGCCACCCTCTATGCACTCATCAAGGACTTCGGATCCATCACCATGGATTCCACTGCCGGCGCAGCCGCCTTTACTCGCCGCGTCCTTGACCTTGCTCGCCGCCTTGCAGCGCTTGGTGTTACCTACCCTGACACCGTCATCTGCTGCCACCTCCTCGAGGGTCTCACCCCTGCCTTCGATGCCCACAAGCTAGCATACATGCAGCTCCTCTCCAAGCATGATACTCCCGCTCAGGTTGCCCAGTGGATTATCACCACTGAGGTTGAAATCCTTCGCCACTCCTCCTCCACCGCCGCAGCAGCACAGCAGCGCAGCAGCAAAGGCGGGCGTGGGGGGGGCGTGGAGGTGGGCGTGGTGGTGGTCGAGGCGGCTCCGGCGGTCGTGGTGGCGTGGGTCGTGGTGCAGCAGCGGCCTTCCCACCCTGTCAGTATCTTCCCCTCTATGGCCCCACCCGAGGTCAACGCTGCAACCAAACCACTCATGCGACTGAGACGTGCTTCAAGGCACTCAGCGATGAGTGGTTCGCTCGTGGGAACTCTGGCACCCCTCCTCGCTGGTCCGCCCTCAACCCCCGCCCCACTCCCCTGGATGTCAGCACCTCTCCCCTTTACGCCCCTTCCTCCTCCTCCCAGGCCCACCAGGCCTTTGCTCTCCCCTCTCACCAGCAGCAGCAGCAGCAGCACCAGAGTGTCCAGCAGCAGGGGCCGCAGCAGTACGGGCAGCAGCTTCATCAGCTCCAGCAGCAGCTTCAGCAGCTCCAGCAGCAGCTCGACCTCCAGCCCCAGCTTCCTCTCCTCCCTCCTCCTCCTGTCCCCCAGCAGCAGCCGTTTCCCAGCTGGACCGCCGGGAATGCGGCCTCCGCGGCCCACCTCTCCGGTCCTTCCCCTTCGCCGTCCACAGGTGGCAGTGTGACTCCCTTTCCCTCCTCTGGCTTTGTTGGTCTGCTTAGTCAGCCTCCTTCTGTCGCATCCCTTATGTATGCCCCTGCTATTAATGAAACTTCAATTCAGTACTCCGCCTCACCCTCCTCCACCCTTGAGTTCGTCTTGGACAGTGGAGCCACTGACAATGTCTTTCGCGATGCCGGCAAACTCCATCCTCTCCCCACACCCACGTCCCTCCTCGGCGCTGATAGCAGCTTTTCCATCCCATGTCACAACACATCTACCCTTCCCTGTCCTCTCTTTCCCTCAGGTACCGTCCCAGGTCTTCACATTCCCTCCCTTCGCACTAACCTCCTCTCCCAAAGGTCCCTCCAACAATCCATGATCACCACTCTCACCCCAGGTGGTGCTAACCATTGTGATCTTTACCAAACCTCCACAGGTCGCTTCCTCGCTCGCATTCCCTACTGTCCCCGCTCCCGTCTGTACACCCTTCGGGTTCCTCGCCCCCTCACCTTCCAAGTCGCCTCCCCCCCCCCTCCTCCCCCCCCCCCCCTCCCCTCCCTCCCACTAACCCACCCGTCCCCCCCCCGCCCCCCTGACTCTGACTGCTCATGTCGCTCCCTCTCCCACCCTGCCATCCTCCTCCATCACAGGCTAGGTCACCCCAACTTCGCCACTCTGCGCTCCTCTGTATCCTCCGGTCTCATCCACGGTCTCCCCTCCTCCCTCCCTCCCCTCCCAAAGTCCCCTGCCCCCCCTTGCGTCATCTGTGTTCAGAGCAAGCTCAAGCAGCAGCCGCACCGGAGCTTCCCCTCCGCTGCAGCCCAGCCACTTGATCTTGTTCACATGGACCTCTGGGGCCCTAACCCCTCCCCCACTCGCCAAGGCCATCCTTGTGCTCGTCGATGATCACAGTCGGTACTCGTCCGTCTCTCTCCTTCGGACGAAGGCGGACGCCCCGACTGCGATCATTGCCTGGCTCGAGCAGGCAAACACCCACTTTGGGCTCCCTGTTCGCCGCCTTCACTCTGATGGTGGTGGTGAGTTCCTTAATAACCAGATCTCCTCCTATTGCCAGTCCCGCGGCATTCTTCAGACTTACACCCTCCCTCACTCCCCACAGCAGAACGGTGTCGCTGAGAGCCGTGTTCGGGAGATCACCAAAACGGCTCGGTGTCTTCTTGTCCACGCCTCCTGCCCCCCTTCTCTGTGGGGCTACGCCCTCCTTCATGCCGCCCTCCTTACTAACCTTTACCCTCACCCCCTCCTCCCCTCCACCACCCCCACTGAGCTATGGACAAAGGACAAACCCGATGTCTCCCCTCTTCGAGTCTGGGGCTCAAAGGCCTATGTCCTCATTCACCCGTCTGACCGATCCCGTTCCCTTGGAAAACTTGCCCCTCGTACCCTTCCCTGCATCTTCCTTGGTCATAACCCCTCTTCCCCTGACTATCTTTTCCTCCACCCCCCTTCCGGTCAACTAATTCGCAGCAGAGATGTCGTCTTTGACGAATCCACTCCGTACTATTCCTCTCCTCCGTCCACTGACCCACTCCCACCTCTGACTCGTCCCCTTGTCTGGTCTGACACCACCCCTCCCCCTCTCCTCCCTCCTCCCCCCATCCTCCCATCCCCTCCCCCTCCCCCTCCGCCCTCCCAGTCCCATGGTGCCCCCCCCTCGTCTGGTGACATCTTTGACCCGGACCCCCTGTCTTCCCCTGTCTCCCCCGCTCACTCCTCCCCTGGTGCCCCTCCTCCCCCTCCCTCCCAACCCTCACCTCCCTCCCCCACTCCCCGCACCATACTCACCCGGTATCCTCACACCAGGTCACGTGACAGTATCCTTGGTGCACCGCCCCCTGTTACCCTCTCTACCTCTACCCTCTCCCCTCTTTCTCCCCTCCTTCACCACTTCTTCCAGGCTGTCTTGCATCAAGCCCCTCATGCACCAGCCCCCTCAACCACCTCTCCAACAGCAGCAGCAACAGCTCCAGCAGCAGCCACCGCAGCGGCACCAGCAGCGGCAAGTGCAACACCAGCACCGGCATCTGCTCCGGCACCGGCACCAGCAGCGGCGAGTGCAGCGGCAGCAGCGGCATCCGCACCAGCACCAGCAGCGGCATCCGCACCAGCACCAGCAGCGGCACCAGCAGCGGCACCAGCAGCCGCACCAGCAGCAGCGCGTGCAGCGGCACCTGCGGTCATCCGCGCCTTTCATACCTCCCTCTCTGAGGACTCCCATGAGGAGTTCCTTGACCTCCACCTCTCTGACCCCTCCCTCCTCCCCATCACCTTTGACCTCTCTGGAACACCAGTTTTCGCCTTTTCCTCTGCTCCCTCCATCTTCATCCCAACCACATATGAGGAAGCCATGGCTTGCCCCGACGCCCCGCTCTGGCTTGCCGCCATCATCAAGGAGCTGGAGGCATTTGTCGCCAACTCCTGCTTCGTTGATGTGCCTCGCCCTCCCCCCTCTACGAACGTAGTGAAGGGGAAGTGGGTGTTTCGCGTCAAACAGCTACCTGGAGAGCCACCCGTCTACAAGGCCCGGTATTGTGCCAAGGGTTTTACGCAGCGGTATGGTTTTGACTTCTTCGACACCTTCTCCCCCACCGCCAAGCCTGCTACCGTTCGCGCCGTACTCGACCTCGCCGCTCGCCTCAACATGGAGATCCACTCGATGGATGTCTCCAACGCCTTCCTGCAAGGCGTGCTACGTGAGCTGATCTACATGGAGCGCCCAGCGGGTTTCCACCTCCCCTTCCCCGCCGACTCCGTCTGGCAGCTGCGCCGGCCCGTGTACGGGCTCCGCCAGGCACTCAGGGAGTGGCATGCCAAGCTTGCAGCCACCCTTGCCGAGCTTGGGTTTCGCACCTCCCGCTCTGACGCCAGTCTTTTCCTCCGCACCTCCCCCTCCCCCTTCTACATCCTCGTCTATGTTGACGATATGATCCTCCTCACTGCCGACCTTGCCGAACTCGAGAATGTCAAGACGGAGCTGGGCAGCCGTCTCAAGTGCAAAGACCTGGGCGAGCTGCAGCACTACCTCGGCATGACCATCACTCGCGACCGCTCTGCCCGCACCATCTCTCTTTCTCAGGGTCACTACCTCCAGCAGGTTTTGGACCGGTTTGAAATGGCGCGCGGCAGCCCGCAGCCCACTCCCCTCTCGGTTGGGCACCACCTCTCCCCACCCTCCTCTCCCTCTCCCTCCTCCCATCCTTATCCTGAACTCATCGGCTCTCTCATGTACGCCATGGTTTCTACTCGCCCTGACCTTGCCTACCCCATCAGCGTCCTCGCTCGCTTCGTTTGCGCTGGCAAGCATACGGAAGAGCACTGGCAGGCCGCCAAGCGCGTCCTTCGCTACATTCGTGGCACCAAGGACTATGTCCTTACCCTTGGCGGCCCTTCCCCTCCCCTCCTCAACGGCTACAGCGACTCTTCCTAGGCTGACTCTCGACCGGATCGGCGGTCCTCTCAGGGTTATGGTTTCTCTCTTGGCAGCGGTCTCATCAGCTGGCGGTCCACACGCTCCTCTGCCGTCGCCCTCTCCTCCTGCGAAGCAGAGCTCTACGCTGCAACCATGGCCGCGCAAGAGGCGCGCTGGCTCACTTTCCTCCTTGATGAGCTTGGAGCCCCCCAACGCTGTCCCACCATCTGGTGTGACAACGCCAGCACCATCCACCTCACCAAGGATGCTGTGTATCATGGGCGCTCCAAACACATTGAGCTTCGCTTCTTCTTCATTCGTGATCTCGTTGAGGCCGGCCACCTTCGCCTTGGCAAAATCGACTCGGCGGCCAGCCTTGCTGACATCTTCACCAAAGCCCTTCCCCAGGCATCCCACTCCTTCCTTCTGCCCCTCCTTGGCCTCACCCCTCCTCCGGTTTTGGCGGCCTCCTGATTACATCTTCTAGCCTTATGCATGTTGGGGGGTTGTGTTGTAAATGTACATTATATACAACATCCATAGGCTAGAATAGGTGTAGTCCCTTATGTTCTTGGGGGGTTGAGTGTACACTCCAACCACACTTTGTGGTTGGTCAAGATTGGATTTGGTCTTGGTCCTTGGTTGGCACTTGCCAACTTTTGGTCCTAACACCAACCAATCGCTACCTAGCTACAATGTGGGGTTTCCTCCTCCACAAGGCATCACTCCCATTGGCCAACTTAGTGGCCAATAGGGTTAGCTCCTCCTCCACTCTTTTCTTCCTTGCATGCTTGTATTATAGAGACTCCTTGGCTCATTACTCAATCATTATTGAATCCTATCACACTCGTAGTACACCAGCTCACTGCCACACAGGGGCTGCCAGGGGGGCGGGGGAGAGGGGGGGAGGGGAGGGCGGGGGGAAGGAGGGGGTTCGAGTGTGTGGAGATGAAGGCATGCGCGCCCGCGGGCACTTGTGGAACACGGGCTCACTGCAGCGCAGGGGATGGGCCGCAAGAGGAGAATGTTGGGGAGGGGGTAAGGGGAAGGGGGGAGTGAGGGAAAGTGTACGTCGACTGAACGGGGGGTTTGGGTGAGGGTGACGCATGGTTTCTGGCCCAGAAGAGCATGGCGCAGGCAAGGCGTATGACTTAGAATGGCATTGGTACCGAGCTGCTTGGGTCGATGCATGCATTTGGAAGAACTCGATATTCCATGGTGCAAATTTCCACACTGGCTCAAACTTCCATGGTGGAAGCCCGAACTCTATTGATCACCATGCCCCACCCCCAATTTCACTGATATCCCTAATCACAACCAAGAAGAGACATGTAACCACTATCCAATACCATTTCAGGACACATGACACCATGTCACAAACAACTGTGCCACCTGCATGACACCTGCGATACATGAGCAGAGCACAACAGGCCCTGGGGCAGCGCAACACTGGGGCAGAGCAGAGCAGCACTGGGGCAGAGCAGAGCAGCACTGGGGCAGAGCAGAGCAGCACTGGGGCAGAGCAGAGCAGCACTGGGGCAGAGCAGAGCAGCACTGGGGCAGAGCAGAGCAGCACTGGGGCAGAGCAGAGCAGCACTGGGGCAGAGGGGGCGGCATGAGAAGTCACGCGCCGCATGTCAACGTGTCTCAAAACACAACTGCGGTACCTGCATGACACCTGCATGACACCTGCATGACACCTGCATGACACCTGCATGACGCCTGCATGACGCCTGCATGACACCTGGAACACATGAGCAGAGCAGCACAGAGCAGCACAGCACCTGGGGCAGCACAGAGCAGCACAGCACCTGGGGCAGTGGGGGAGCCATGGCGAAGTCGCACCGCCGCATGTCCGCCTCCACGTCCTCCACCCTCACCGGGAACCACCGAGCCCTCTCCCTCTCCCCCTCACCCCTCACCCCCTCCCCCTCAGCCCTCTCTCCCTTCATTCGCTTCCGTTTCTGCCTTCCCTTCTCCCCTCCCTCCTTTCCACACGTCTCCATATCCATCCACTCCTCTCTCCCTCCTTCCATTCCCCATCGGCCCTGCGCATGTGCCGTCTCGTCCCTCTCCACATCCACACCGCTCCCATGAGCGTCCCCATGGGCTGCGGGAGGCGAGGGGGCCCGCAGGGGGAGGGCGGCGTGCAGGTGGGCGCGCAGCTCGCGGTCGAGAGTGGAGGGGTCGGCGCCGCGCGTGGCGTCGGGGGCAAACACGTGGCGCTCGCAGTGCTGCAGGTACTGCCGCAGCTGCAGCGGCGCTGCAGGTGGGAAAGTGGGGAGAGGGGGGGGGGAAGAGCAGGGGCAAGTATCAGGGAAGAGGAGGAGAGGGGGCGAGAGAGTAGAGGTGAGGAGGGGAAGGAGTGTGACAAGGGGGCAATAATGGCTGGAGTTTAGACAGACATGCAGGGAAGAAAGGGGATGGGGAGTGGGTGTTGATGCAAGGCAGAAGAGGATGGATGGAGAGTGAGCGAGTGCAGGTGTGGCAGGTGTTGCCTTCCTCACTTCACGGCCTTCAAGCCTCTCATGCCCCGCACAGCCCATGCCTCACGCCCCTCACACCCCACCCCTCACACTAGAGTTGAGCAGGTGCCCCGCTCGGGTCGGGCCGACCCGACCCGACCCGTGGTTTTGCCCGGGTCGGGTCAGGGTTTCTGAATCTCTGCCCCGTATGGGCCGACCCGACCCGACCCGGGGTAAGACCCGACCCGAGGGCCCATTTCGGGCCGGGCCGAGTCGGGTTTCGGGTCGGGCCTGCCCCGACCCGATTTCGGGTCTAAAATGTCGAAATCGGGTCGGACCAGGTGCGCGACCCGATTTCGACAGGGCTAGGGCTGAAACCCTAGCCCAAATGTAAATCAATCGAGGGGATTTTTTCCCCGTCGATTTACATTCGCCACCCCAGCAACTAGTGGCCTTAAAGTATTAAGTACCTTCCTTTAAACTACCTCCTATCTTAGGCTTTCCCCCACGAATGCACATACTTTCAGTTATATTCGTAGATATAAGATTCTGGCTGCACTAGTAGTGCATTTCGCGCAGGTCAATTTCGTAGTTTTTAGGGTACTTAAATTCAAGCGCAACCTCTACTTTCCTTTGACCCCACGACATCCGTGGCGTTTCCGCTGTAGTGGACGCATTTACCGGCAACCGCTGCACGATTTCACATAGGTTTGCGTCGGCTGCTTGCACGGTGACGGGGAATCCGCGAGCACACGTTTCGTTGCACATTGTGATGAATACCCCCAGCCTCCCCTAAGGGGGCGGGTCTGCCTGGACCGACCCGCCCCGACCCGACCCCGGGTCCTCTTTGACCCGAGTCAGTAGGCCCGAGGTCGGCCCGACCCGACCCGAGGGCCCGTGTGGCCCGGCCAAATCGGGTCGGGTCGGGCCGGGTCGGGCCACATGCTCAACTCCACACCCCACCCCTCACACCCCACCCCTCACGCCCCACCCCTCACACCCCACCCCTCACACCCCACCCCTCACACCCCACCCCTCACACCCCACCCCTTACACCCCACCCCTCACACCTCACGCCCCTGCAACAGGGGTTCACCTCTTCCCTCTGATCCATCCTCCCCCTCTCCCTGCATGCGTCCCCCGCCAGCCCCAGCACGGGTCTGCATGGGCATCTGCAGCAGCTGCTGCCGGATGCCCTCCACTGCTTGCACCACCCGCCGCACATCCCACTCCCCTTCCTCCCCTTCCTCCCCTTCCTCCTTCCCTTCCTCCTCCCCTACCCCCTCCTCCTCCCCCTCCTCCTCCCCCTCCTCCTCCCCCTCCTCCTGCCCCTCCACCCCATCCTCCCCTCGCCCCTCGTCTACCTTCCCTGCCAGCGACCCGCCTTGCCTTGCATCGCCTTGCTTGCGCTGCTGCAGCATGTGCTGCCACCCCGACACCGCGCCCCGAGCCAGCGACACCGTGGCGCGCGGGGCAGCCACAGCAGCCTTGCACACCGCCGCTCCACCCCCTGCTGCTCCTGCTGATGCTGCTGCTGCCACTGCTGCTGATGCTCTTGCTGCTGGTGTTGGCGATGCCCTTGCGCGTGTGCATGATGAAGGGTTGAGGCAGGGCCAGGAGCCGAGGGCGAGGGCGAGCTTGAGGGAGACAACGACCGCTGCCATGACGTAGAGGCGCGTGGGCCACCCAGAGGGGTGGGGCGAGAGGTGGAAGCGGGGGAGGAGGGATGGGAGGGAAGGGGCAAGGGAGGCGGAGGGGCAAAGGAGGTCAAAGAGGCGGTGCAGGAAAGGGGCGAAGAGCGGTACGGGTAGGTGCAGCTCCTGGTGGGGCAGGAGGAACAGAGGGGAGGGAGGGATGGGACGGAGGGGTACGGAGGGGTGGAACGGGACAGGGAGAGAGGGAAGGAAGGGGAGAGGGACGGAGGGGGCAATGCAGAGGCGGGTGAGGGGGGGGTTTGGGAGAAAGCGGAAGGGACGGGGTTTGGGGAGAAAGCGGAAGGGACGGGGTTTGCGGAGAAAGCGGAAGGGACGGGGTTTGGGGAGAAAGCGGAAGGGACGGGGTTTGGGGAGAAAGCGGAAGGGACGGGATTTGGGGAGAAAGCGGAAGGGACGGGGTTTGGGGAGAAAGCGGATGGGACGGGGTTTGGGGAGAAAGCGGAAGGGACAGGGCTTGGGGAGAAAGCGGTAGGGACAGGAATTTGGGAGAAAGTGGAAGGGACGGGGTTTGGGGAGAAAGCGGAAGGGATGGGGTTTGGGGAGAAAGCGGAAGGGACGGGGTTTGGGGAGAAAGCAGAAGGGACGGGGTTTGGGGAGAAAGCGGAAGGGACGGGATTGGGGAGAAAGCGGAAGGGACGGGGTTTGGGGAGAAAGCGGAAGGGACGGGGTTTGGGGAGAAAGCGGAAGGGACGGGGTTTGGGGAGAAAGCGGAAGGGACGGGGTTTGGGGAGAAAGCGGAAGGGACGGGAGTTGGGGAGAAAGCGGAAGGGACGGGGTTTGGGGAGAAAGTGGAAGGGTTGGGGAGAAAGCGGAAGGGATGGGGTTCGGGGAGAAAGCAGAAGGGACGGGGTTTGGGGAGAAAGCGGAAGGGACGGGGTTTGGGGAGAAGGCGGAAGGGACGGGAGTTGGGAGAAAGCGGAAGGGACGGGGTTTGGGGAGAAAGCGGAAGGGACGGGGTTTTGGGAGAAAGCAGAAGGGACGGGAGTTAGGGAGAAAGCGGAAGGGACGGGATTTGGGGAGAAAGCAGAAGGGACGGGGTTTGGGGAGAAAGCGGAAGGGACGGGGTTTGGGGAGAAAGCAGAAGGGACGGGGTTTGGGGAGAAAGCGGAAGGGACGGGATTGGGGAGAAAGCGGAAGGGACGGGGTTTGGGGAGAAAGCGGAAGGGACGGGATTTGGGGAGAAAGCGGAAGGGACGGGGTTTGGGGAGAAAGCGGACGGGACGGGGTTTGGGGAGAAAGCGGAAGGGACGGGGTTTGGGGAGAAAGCGGAAGGGATGGGGTTTGGGGAGAAAGCGGAAGGGACGGGGTTTGGGGAGAAAGCGGAAGGGACGGGAGTTGGGGAGAAAGCGGAAGGGACGGGGTTTGGGGAGAAAGTGGAAGGGTTGGGGAGAAAGCGGAAGGGATGGGGTTCGGGGAGAAAGCAGAAGGGACGGGGTTTGGGGAGAAAGCGGAAGGGACGGGGTTTGGGGAGAAGGCGGAAGGGACGGGAGTTGGGAGAAAGCGGAAGGGACGGGGTTTAGGGAGAAAGCGGACGGGACGGGGTTTGGGGAGAAAGCGGAAGGGACGGGGTTTGGGGAGAAAGCGGAAGGGACGGGGTTTTGGGAGAAAGCAGAAGGGACGGGAGTTAGGGAGAAAGCGGAAGGGACGGGATTTGGGGAGAAAGCAGAAGGGACGGGGTTTGGGGAGAAAGCGGAAGGGACGGGGTTTGGGGAGAAAGCAGAAGGGACGGGGTTTGGGGAGAAAGCGGAAGGGACGGGATTGGGGAGAAAGCGGAAGGGACGGGGTTTGGGGAGAAAGCGGAAGGGACGGGATTTGGGGAGAAAGCGGAAGGGACGGGGTTTGGGGAGAAAGCGGAAGGGACGGGGTTTGGGGAGAAAGCGGAAGGGACGGGGTTTGGGGAGAAAGCGGAAGGGACGGGAGTTGGGGAGAAAGCGGAAGGGACGGGGTTTGGGGAAAAAGGGGAAGGGACGGGGTTTGGGGAGAAAGTGGAAGGGTTGGGGAGAAAGCGGAAGGGATGGGGTTCGGGGAGAAAGCAGAAGGGACGGGGTTTGGGGAGAAAGCGGAAGGGACGGGGTTTGGGGAGAAGGCGGAAGGGACGGGAGTTGGGAGAAAGCGGAAGGGACGGGGTTTAGGGAGAAAGCGGACGGGACGGGGTTTGGGGAGAAAGCGGAAGGGACGGGGTTTGGGGAGAAAGCGGAAGGGACGGGGTTTTGGGAGAAAGCAGAAGGGACGGGAGTTAGGGAGAAAGCGGAAGGGACGGGATTTGGGGAGAAAGCGGTAGGGACAGGAATTTGGGAGAAAGTGGAAGGGACGGGGTTTGGGGAGAAAGCGGAAGGGACGGGGTTTGGGGAGAAAGCGGAAGGGACGGGATTGGGGAGAAAGCGGAAGGGACGGGGTTTGGGGAGAAAGCGGAAGGGACGGGAGTTGGGGAGAATGCGGAAGGGACGGGGTTTGGGGAGAAAGCGGAAGGGACGGGATATGGGGAGAAAGCGGAAGGGACGGGAATTGGGGAGAAAGCGGGAGGGACGGGGTTTGGGGAGAAAGCGGAAGGGACGGGAGTTGGGGAGAAAGCGGAAGGGACGGGGTTTTGGGAGAAAGGGGAAGGGACGGGGTTTGGGGAGAAAGCGGAAGGGACGGGGTTTGGGGAGAAAGCGGAAGGGACGGGGTTTGGGGAGAAAGCGGAAGGGACGGGGTTTGGGGAGAAAGCGGAAGGGACGGGAGTTGGGGAGAAAGCGGAAGGGACGGGGTTTGGGGAAAAAGCGGAAGGGACGGGGTTTGGGGAGAAATTGGAAGGGTTGGGGAGAAAGCGGAAGGGATGGGGTTCGGGGAGAAAGCGGAAGGGACGGGGTTTGGGGAGAAAGCGGAAGGGACGGGGTTTGGGGAGAAGGCGGAAGGGACGGGAGTTGGGAGAAAGCGGAAGGGACGGGGTTTAGGGAGAAAGCGGACGGGACGGGGTTTGGGGAGAAAGCGGAAGGGACGGGGTTTGGGGAGAAAGCGGAAGGGACGGGGTTTTGGGAGAAAGCAGAAGGGACGGGAGTTAGGGAGAAAGCGGAAGGGACGGGATTTGGGGAGAAAGCAGAAGGGACGGGGTTTGGGGAGAAAGCGGAAGGGACGGGGTTTGGGGAGAAAGCAGAAGGGACGGGGTTTGGGGAGAAAGCGGAAGGGACGGGAATGGGGAGAAAGCGGAAGGGACGGGGTTTGGGGAGAAAGCGGAAGGGACGGGAGTTGGGGAGAATGCGGAAGGGACGGGGTTTGGGGAGAAAGCGGAAGGGACGGGATATGGGGAGAAAGCGGAAGGGACGGGAATTGGGGAAAAAGCGGGAGGGACGGGGTTTGGGGAGAAAGCGGAAGGGACGGGAGTTGGGGAGAAAGCGGAAGGGACGGGGTTTTGGGAGAAAGGGGAAGGGACGGGGTTTGGGGAGAAAGCGGAAGGGACGGGATTTGGGGAGAGCGGAAGGGACGGGGTTTGGGGAGAAAGCGGAAGGGACGGGGTTTGGGGAGAAAGCAGAAGGGACGGGAGTTGGGGAGAAAGCGGAAGGGACGGGATTTGGGGAGAAAGCAGAAGGGACGGGGTTTGGGGAGAAAGCGGAAGGGACGGGGTTTGGGGAGAAAGCGGAAGGGACGAGATTTGGGGAGAAAGCGGAAGGGACGGGGTTTGGGGAAAAAGCGGAAGGGACGGGGTTTGGAGAGAAAGCGGAAGGGACGGGGTTTGGGGAGAAAGCGGAAGGGACAGGGTTTGGGGAGAAAGCGGAAGGGACGGGAATTTGGGAGAAAGCGGAAGGGACGGGGTTTGGGGAGAAAGTGGAAGGGACGGGGTTTGGGGAGAAAGCGGAAGGGACGGGGTTTGGGGAGAAAGCGGAAGGGACGGGGTTTGGGGAGAAAGCGGAAGGGACGGGGTTTGGGGAGAAAGCGGAAGGGACGGGAGTTGGGGAGAAAGCGGAAGGGACGGGGTTTGGGGAAAAAGCGGAAGGGACGGGGTTTGGGGAGAAAGCGGAAGGGACGGGAATTTGGGAGAAAGCGGAAAGGACGGGGCTTCGTTAGAACGCTAAAGGGACGGGGGTTGGGGAGAGGGGAAAACAGTGGGAGAAAGATGATCGGGGGCAGAAGAGGTGACTTTATACGGGGGACACACGACTTGACACAGGACTTGACTTTTTTGCAACGAGAGCCCAATTCGAATGGATTGTGATCACCGCTGCTCGCTCAACCTGACAGGCGTAACAGAGTGAGAGGGCGCATCTAGCATGTACCTGAAGAAACCGCTCCCCAATTAGGCGGAAGTTGAGGGGGGGCAGGCGCAGGGCGATGGATGCGGCAGCAGAGGCAGCGAGCAGCTCGAGCAGGCGAGCAGAGCAGAGGGCGAGCGGACGGAAGAGCGTGGCGGGTGGGACGCTGGCGGGGTAGCCCTCGAAGGGCGACAGCTGGCGCCACGCGGACAGGTAGGGCAGCGAACCGGAGAGCGCCAGGTGGCAGATGTCGGTGGGGAGCAGCGGCAGGCGGAGGTAGTGAGAGGCGAGGTAGAGGGAAGCGAGTGAGGCGTGCAGTGGTAGGTGGCTGGGGGGGGGGGGAACGGGGTGAAAGAGGGAAACAGGTGGAGGTGAGAAGCAAGGCAGTGAGGGTGAGGGGGCATGCAAGGCGAGGAAGAAGACTGAGGTGAGCGAGAAGATGGGTTGGGGGATTTGGGTTGTGGGAGATGAGATGAGAAGCAGGAGTGCAGTCAGGGGACATGCAAGGTGAGGCGAGGGGAGCGAACATGAGGCGAGGGGAGCGAACATGAGGCGAGGGGAGCGAACATGAGGCGAGGGGAGCGAACATGAGGCGAGGGGAGCGAACATGAGGCGAGGGGAGCGAACATGAGGCGAGGGGGGCGAACATGAGGCGAGGGGAGCGAACATGAGGCGAGGGGGGCGAACATGAGGCGAGGGGAGCGAACATGAGGCGAGGGGAGCGAACATGAGGCGAGGGGAGCGAACATGAGGCGAGGGGAGCGAACATGAGGCGGGAAGGGAAACGGGAAGTGGAGTGAAGTGGAGGTAGCCATGCAAGTGGAGTGGAGTGGTGTTGCCGTGCCTTGCCAGTGACGGTATGGTGCTCACAGCAGCAACAATAAGCGCGCCACCAACCACTCAAGGGCCTCACTCACTCACACGTGCAGCTTGCAGGTGACGGCAAAGAAAGGGCTTGTCTGAAGCCTCTCCGCCAGAGCAAACCACGTCTCCCTCATCGACGCCTTCTCACTCCCCCCCTTCCCTCCTTCCTCCTCCTCTCCCTCCCCTTCCACTCCCATCCCATCCCCCCCCATCCCCTCACTTCCTTCGCGTCTCTCAGCAGCCTCGTCCTCCCGAATGGCCGCCAGCTCCGCTTCAAACTGCCCCCACTTCTTCCTCCGCGCCCGCCTCGCCCGCTTCCTCACCTCCTCCCTCTCTTGCCGCCTGCTCCGCCTCGCGCCCGCCAGAATCGCCCGCAGCTCCCGCGCCCACTCATCCTCCTCCTCGTGCTGCCCCGTGCCACCCACTGCGCCGTTCCCCTCTTTGTCTCTCCCTTCTTCGCCTGCCCCCTGCGCTGCCGCGCACCCCATTCCCCCAAAGCCCCCGCTCCCGCCCTCCATGCCCCACCCTGCCATCTCCCGTTGCAGTGCCTCCCCCCCTTCCCCTCCCATCTCACCTCCACCTCGTCTCTTCCTTCCACCAGACTTCGCCTCCCCTCCCCATCCCTCCTCCCCATTTCCCCCTCCCCCAACCCCTCCCGCACCCCTTTCCCCTTCCTCCCAAGCGTGCCCCCCTCCCCATGTGCCCTCACCCACGCGCCACAGCAGCCAGCAGCGCTCGGCATACCCTTGGCGGAGCACACCCGAGTGCAGCACGAGGCGCAGCAGGATCTGCCGCGCCACGCTGCTCAGCGCTGCTGCATTGGCAGCCGAGGCAGCCGCAGCAGCAGCAGTGTCCTGCTCCTTGCGCTCCCCGCCCTCCCCCATGGGCCCCTGGGGCGGAGCAGGTGTGGGCGGGGCGAGCAGGGCGGAGAGCGCGTGGCACTGGCGGGCCAGCATGGCGTGAAGCCCCGCGCAGTAGTGCTCCGCCAGGGCGTGCGCCTGGAGGGGGAGGGGGGGGGAGGAGGAGGGGGGAGGAGGAGGGGGGAGAGGGGAGGTGAGATGAGAGAGCGCTCTGCCAGCATGGCGTGCAGCCCCGCGCAGTAGTGCTCCGCTAGGCCGTGCGCCTGGGGAAGGGGGGGGAGTGGAAGGGGGTGGGTGGAAGGGGGGAAAGGTGGGGGAGGGGGCAGCAGTAATGGAAGGCATGGCGTGGCACTGGCGGGCCAGCATGGCGTGAAGCCCCGTGCTATAGTGCTCCGCCAGGGCGTGCGCCTGGGGGAGGGAGCGCGGGGTGGGCGGGAAGAAGAAGGGGAGGAAGGGGGGGGAAGGGGGGGTGGGGGTGAGGTGGGGGTTTAGGTGGAAGAGGAAGGGGTGAGGTGGGGAGGAAAAAAGGGGATGTGGAGGGGGTGGTTGGCATTGATGGTAGGCAGATGGGAAAAATCTTGCTCTCTTCACAGTTTGCAAGCGTACATGGCGCATGGTCCCCTAACCCCTAAACCCTCGTGAGAGGGAGTGCGGGCAAGGGACAGCGAGCAGGCGCACACGAGGAGGCGAGAACGCATGGGGTCACAATTTCTCGCCCTCACCTTGCGCACCATTGTAAGCCCCCTGCACTTGCCGCCCACTCAACGCCCCACCTGCACTCCACGCCCCATCCCCACCTCCCACCTGCAATCCACACCCCATCCCCACCTCCCACCTGCACTCCACACCCCATCCCCACCTCCCACCTGCACTTGCAGGCTGACGGCGCGAGCAGCCCTGGCGGCGTCCGCCGCAGCGACGTCCTGCCGCTGCTGGTGCAGCGCCACGTTGCTCTCGCGCACCACCGCCTGCGACCCCCCCATCCCCCCCACCCCCGTCCCCGCCGCGCCTCCGCCCGCGCCGCCCGCGCCGCCCTCGTTGTCCTCCTCGCGGAACTGCTGCGACACCATGCCGCACTCGCTGCACCGCATGGCGCCCGTGTGGTCGTCCTGATGGGGGGAGGGGGGGGGGAAGGGGGGAGGGGGGGCGGGGGGGGGATGGAGGGGGGGGGAGCAGAGGGAGGGGGGTGGGGGGGAGTGGGCTTTGGAGGCGCCTCAGAAGGCGTCCTCCCCGCGGAACTGCTGCGACACCATGCCGCACTCGCTGCACCGCATGGCGCCCGCGTGCCCGTCCTGCCGGGCGCGAGCGGGGGGTGGGGGTGGGGGGAAGGCAATGGGGTTGCGCCGCTTCTCAGATAGACGGATCGATGCTGCTGCGGGCTGTCTATTTGACATTGTAACGAACCTGCTCCATGCGGATCATGCTGTAACGCACATGCAGTCGTCGCCACGATGCAGTTGAAACTGTACTAACATGAAGTTGAAACTGTACTAACGCACCTTCTCCATGCAGTTGAGACTGTAACGCACCTTCTCCATGCAGTTGAAACTGTGACGCACCTTCTCCATGCAGTTGACGCTGAAGCACACGAGGCACATCTCCTGCTCGCTCCCCGCCATCGCTGCGCCTCTCCTGCTGCGACCCGCGCCTCTACTGCTACGACCCGCGCCTCTACTGCTACGACCCGCGCCTTGCTAACCTTGTCGCGCACTCGTTCGGAGCCCTCCTAAGAAACGGATTCCTGCGCCTTCTTTCAACTGGCGCGTTCGATAGTTGGGCATAGCAGTCAAGAGTGGCTACGGGAGTGGCGACCCCGTAACTACGGAATGTCGCGAGGGTTAGCGAGAAAACCCCCCCCCCCACTTCTAAAAGGGGAGAATATACGAATGGTTACGACCATGAGGCTCAATAATGTGTACGATAAACATTAGAGTTTTAATGTGTTTTGTAACTGGTTCATCAGTAGAGAATGATCACGAATGGCATATCTCAGCAGACAACTGACTCCACCCAGCGGAGCTCGCTGCCCACGGGGAGAATATATATATATATAACCCATTCGGGCATGCATCCGGTCAGGGAGGCATCAACCCTGAACACCTGGAGGCATGCGTTTAGGTTTGATGCCTCCATTGGATAGAATGCCATCCGATCGGGTTTTAGTTTTTTTCTGACCAGGGGCAGCAGGTCGTCAGGTCGTCAAAGGGTCAACGGAGCTATCGACCCAATTCCGCTGAGGTATTTCGCGAATATTAAAACCCGCAGTCTGAATGACAGAAGGTGTTTTGAGGTGTTAATACTTTCTCTTCCGAACCAGGGTGGTTACCATGCGTTCATCTGCAAAACGTGATGAAGTCCCATGCATCACGGGGAAGGGTCGCTCGGTTCCTGCGCAACAACTTTGGGCTGTGGTGTGCACACCAAACTGGAGATGTAACTGCTCACGCTCACTCCCTTCCGTCATAGCCAAATGCTTTTCGTGTCGGGAAGTCTAGCAATTGCATTTCACGTCGGGAAGGTTTGCTATTGTTTTGAGCGTCCGAACTACTTGATGCGTTTCGTTTTAGGGACGGCTAAATGCGCTTGCGTCGGGAAGGCCGAATGAGTTTAGTGTCGGAAAAGCTAATTGCGTCTCGTCCGACTCATTTTGTTCATGGGCCATTCTCGTTGTGGGCTTGGTTAATATCTTGGAGGAAGTTGGTGGTACTAGTACAAGTCCTCTAAACAGTCCGTCGAGTAGCCAGAGGTATGTCGAGGTATGTTAGGCTGCTCCCTACCATTCAGTTGGTGTTGTGTACACATTCTTCTCGAGTCGTTTGCTTGGTAGCGGCACCAGGTTGTCGCTACATTGTTTTTGCTAACAAGCATTTTTCGCAATTCATCCGAACCTCAGATTGCTTGACCCCACCCCAACCCAAGCCTTGTGTTGACTGAGTTTTGTAATTTAGGCTATGGGTTAGAAAACCAACCACCCAAAACGATCATGATTTCAAGAGATTTGAGTTTGCAGTTTGTAACGCATGTCTTTTTTGTTTCGATATCCATGTTTGTCAGAAACAAGAAGTCAGGAACAGAAATGAAGAAAGGATGGTTTGCACTAGCAACAGTTGGCATACGTAAATGAAACCCTAATTGGGTTGTACTCGCTATAGAGTACCCCACTTCAGGCTAGACAATAATAACATTCTGACACACCCCCATAGCCAAAGTGGAGTGTAATCAGCACAATGAGCAGGCATAGCAATAGTTTACAATTATAAGCAAAGCTAGAGGCGATCACAGAGGGCAAGTGAGGAGGAGGAATTGTGAGGGGAGAGAAGATGGGAGACGACGGCTGAAGCTGCAGTCACACGGGCAACAGGAGCACGCACACAGTGGCTACCGAGCGCACGAGGGCACCGGACTACAGGAGTAACAGGCTCCGCGGCTACGACGAGCGGCAGGAGCAACAGACCCACGGGCGACAGGCACACCAGGCTCTCTGGGCTACCGAGAGCACGACGGCTCCTGACTACTGGCGCTGTAAGCGATACGACGGCAGCCTCCACACAACCTCCCCCGACCGTCCCACGCCCCTCTCACACACCCCCTGCAGAAACCCTAACTCCACTCCCACGTCACCCCCCCGGCTCCACTCCCCTCGGCTCCCACACCTCCACCCCCCTCAGCAGCAGCTGCAGCAGTGGGAGACGAGCAAGGAGGAGGGGAGAGGGAAGGGGAGCATGTCAAACTTATATGCTATAGTCTGTGTAGGCTGTAGTGGGGTAGACAATATGGGGTAAAACACTTTTAGGTTTTCCTACTTGTACCCACCTGTTTCCTAGTGCACACATTCCTCGTTCTTTCACATGGTATAGAGCAGGTTCCCTAGTGGGAACGTTTCCTAGGGCCCACCGAATATCGATTTTTTTTTTCCTGCCCGGAGCGCGCTTTGCCCGTGCCCGAGTCGCCCCTTCGCGGCCCCTTCGCGGCCCCTTCACGGCCCCTTCGCGGCCCCTTCACGGCCCCTTCGCGGCACCTTCGTGGCCCCCTCGCGGCCGCTTCGTGGCCCCTTCGCGGCCCCTTCGCGGCCCCTTCGCGGCCCCTTCACGGCCCCTTCGCGGCCCCTTCGCAGCCCCTTCACGGCCCCTTCGCGGCCCACTCGCGGCTCCCTTCGCGGCCCCGCCCCGCTGCCCGTAGCGGCCCCGCCCTGTCGCCAGTCGCGGCCCCGCCCCGTCGCCAGTCGCGGCCCCGCCCCGTCGCCAGTCGCGGCCCCGCCGCGTCGCCCCCGCCTCGTCGCGACGCCCCTGCGGGACCCGCGAGGCGCGGCTCTTGCGCGTCGCGAAACCACTGCATAACCCGCGTGGCGTCACCCCTGCCCGCGGCGGCGCCCTCCCCTAACCCGCGCCCTGGAGCAGCCGCCACTGCAACAGCCGCCTCTGGAGCAGCCGTCACTGCAGCAGCCGCCCCTGGAGCAGCCGCCCCTGCAGCAGCCGCCCCTGGAGCAGCCGCCCTTGAAGTAGCCGCCCCTGGAGCAGCCGCGACTGCAGCAGCCGCCCCTGGAGCAGCCAACCCTGGAGCAGCCGCCACTGCAGCAACCGCCCCTGGAGCAGCCACCCCTGCAGCAACCGCCCCTGGAGCAGCCGCCCCTGCAGCAGCCGCCCCTGGAGCAGTCGCCCTTGAAGCAGCCGCCCCTGGAGTAGCCGCCACTGCAGCAGCCGCCCCTGGAGCAGCCACCCCTGCAGCAGCCGCCCCTAGAGCAGCCGCCCCTGCAGCAGTCGCCCCTGGAGCAGCCGCCACTGCAGCAGCCGCCCCTGGAGCAGCCGCCCCTGGAGTAGCAGCCGCCCCTGCAGCAGCCGCCCCTGGAGCAGCCGCCCCTGCAGCTGCCGCGGAGCCCTCGCCCTACAGTGGTAGCGGCCTCGCCATTGCCGCTGTCGTACGCCTGCCCTTCTCGCCACTGGTGAGCACTGCCCTGCCCGTACTGCTGTTACTGCTACTCTTACTGCTACTGCTATTTCTATTGCTAGTGCTGCTCCTAGCGTCGCCAGATGCAGCTCCAGCGCCGTCCGCGTGAGTCCCTCGCCCCCCAACAGCTTCGTGAGTGGTACGCTAGTTGGGGTTGTAGGGGTGGCCGCGCTGCGACTACTACTGTTGCTACTACTGCTGCTACTGCGGCTACCACTGCTCGTGCTGCTCCTGGCGGTGGCCAGATGCAGCTCCAGCGACGTCCGCGTGAGTCCCTCACCCCCCAGCAGCTTCGTGAGTGGTACGCTACTTGGGGTTGTCGGGGTGGCCGTAGTGGGAGTCGTCCTGGAGTGAGTAGTTTGGCAGCTGCTTGTGGTGGCCAGGTGCAGCTGCAGCGTCGTCCGTGCGCGGTCCTTTCACCCCAGCAGCTTCGTGAAAGGTACGCTCAGCGTGACGGGTCACGGGGTACTGCGCGCTGTCCGTACGTCATTCGCACTGGTGCTCGGACTGGTCAGCCTTGCGAGACGATTGGTCACGCAGAGTCCCGCTACTTCGCCCGTCTGAGCGATGCCTGGCGTACGGATTTTGGCGACGCGGCTGAGCTCCCCGACTGGGTGGAGCTGCTTAGGCTGAGGGTAGATATCTATACTCTTGACTATGATGCTATCCTCACTACCATGTATACATTGCCTACTAGTGATGAGGGTGACTGTTACGTGTGTGTTCCGCCTGACCCGGGCATTGAGACCGCTGCTCTAGGTGCTAGTGAGGCTGCTGCTCTAGGTGCTAGTGCGTCTGCTGCTCCAGGTGCTGGTGAGTCTGCTGCCCCAGGTACTGGTGCGTCTGCTCTCTCAGGTACCACGTCGGCTCAAGCCTTACACACCTTCACCCTTGAGTCGGGTGCTTCGCGCTCCTTCTTTCGAGACCGCACCACGCTTACGCCACTTAGTCGGCCAGTTGCGGTCTCCCTGGCGGACCCCTTCGGGGGTCCTGTCCTTGCCCACTTCTCCACTGTCTTACCGTGTCCGGCGTCCCCCTCTGGCACCCTGTCTGGTCTCTACCTCCCCTCGTTCTCTACAAACTTGGTGAGTGGTGCTGATCTACAGGATGGGGGGGTTGACCAATTCACTCCTGCGAGTCAGCGGGTGACCCACTGTACGTGTGCTCGGACGGGCCGACACTTGGCCACGTTTACCCGTCAGCCGGGGTCGAGCCTGTACACGCTGACTACTGAGTCTCCTCCAGTTGCTGAGTCTGGTCAGGTAGCTGCGTCGGGTCAGGTGTTTGCTGCAGCGTCCAGGTCTGGTCCTGAGTCTGCTCCCTGCTCGTGTCGTCTCCTTTCCCACCGGACACTCCTCTGGCACCAACGCCTTGGTCACCCCTCCCTGCCTCGTCTCCGAGGCATGGCCTCCCGTTACCTTGTCTCTGGTCTCCCCCGGTCCCTCCCTCCCCTTCCTCCGGGGCCTGCCCCTACCTGCGTTCCATGCGTTGAGGGGCGGCAGCGCGCAGCCCCTCACTCCTCCGAGTTTCCTCCGATAGAGGCTCCGCTGCAGACTCTTCACATGGACGTGTGGGGCCCCGCCCGCGTCCGTGGCCAGGGTCACGAGCGTTACTTCCTGTTGGTGGTTGACGACTACTCGCGTTACACCTCGGTGTTCCCCTTGCGCAGCAAGGGTGACGTCACTCAGGTGTTGATCGACTGGATCCGCGCAGCTCGTCTCCAGCTCAGAGAGAGTTTCGGCTCTGACTTTTGTGTTCACTCCGGCAGAGGCGAGGAGTTTTCCTCTGCTCTTCTGGGAGCCTTCTGTCAAGCACAGGGCATCCGCCAGACGTTCACGCTTCCGGCCTCTCCACAGCAAAATGGGATTGCTGAGCGCCGCATTGGCATGGTCATGGACGTCGCTCGTACGTCCATGATCCATGCGGCTGCTCCCCATTTTCTTTGGCCGTTTGCGGTTCGGTACGCAGCGCATCAGATCAACCTTCAACCCCAGGTCTCCTTGCCAGAGACCTCCCCCACCTTGCGGTGGACGGGGAAGGTTGGCGATGCATCTGCGTTTCGTGTCTGGGAATCTCGGGTGTTTGTCCGCGACCTATCTGCGGACAAGCTGTCCCCCCGTGCTGTTCCCTGCGTCTTCCTTGGCTTCCCCCCTGACGCGCCTGGTTGGCAGATTTACCACCCCACCTCGCGCCGTGTTCTGTCCTCCCAGGACGTCACGTTTGACGAGTCGCTTCCTAACTACCGTCTCTTCCCCTACCGCACTGCGCCCCTCCCCCTGCCGCCGCTCTTCCTTGCGCCAGGTCCCCCCCCGGTAGACCCTCTCCCCCCTCAGGGTCCTACCCGTCAGGTGTGTCCCAGGTAGATGCAGTCGAGCCTGTCGAGGTAGCTGTTGACTCTGGTGCTGCTAGAGGTGCTATGCCAGCGGGTGCCAGGTCTGAGGGTGCGGAGCCTGGGGTTGCTGAGTCTGGGGGTGCTGAGTCTGGGGTTGCTGAGCCTGGGGGTGCTGAGTCTGGGGGTGCTGAGCCTGGGGGTGCTGAGGCTCGGGGTGCTGAGCCTGGGGGTGCAGAGCCTGGAGGTGCGGAGCCTGGGGGTGCTGAGCCTGGGGGTGCGGAGTCTAGGGGTGCTGGGTCTGCTCGTGTGGCCTTTGGCGGGGCTGGGTCTGGGGGCCCTTCGGGTGCTTCGTCTCGGCGGGAGCTACCCTCTCCACAGTAGCTGCGCGAGTGGTTTGACCGGCGCTGGAGCCGTGCTGCTGGAGCTGGAGGTGCTACTGTTGCTGCTGACCCTGGGGTTGGCACTGGAGGTACTGGAGCCACTGGTCCTGGAGGTGCTCGTACTGGCGGTACTAGAGCTGCTGGGACTGGAGGTGCTGCTGGGGCTGCTGGAGTTGGTGCTGCTGGAGGTACTGGAGCTGCTGGGCCTGGAGGTGCTCCTGGTGCTGGAGCTAATGGCGGTGCTGGAGCTGGCGGTCCTGCTGGGGTAGGTGCTGCTTGGCTGCTGGAGCTGGAGCTGCTGGGGGTGTTGGCGCTGGGGGTGCTGCTGGCGCTGGTGCGTTTGAGGGTGCTGGAGTTGGCGCTGCTGGAGCTGGAGGTGCTGCTGGCGCAGGCGCTACCGCTGGGGGTACTTGTGCTGTCCCTGCTCGTTCTAGAGGCGCTGCGCGGCCGCGGCCGTACTTCTTTCCGCTCCTTGAGCAGGTTCTTGGTCTTCCGCCTTCTACTGGTCCTGCTCCTCTCTTAGAGTGTCCACCGCTTGTCCAGTCATAGTCACAGTTAGAGCCCGCCTCCCCCCTGCCTGCTCCTTCTCCCTACACTTGTCCTACTGGAGGTCTTGCTGAGCGTCGTGAGCCTGCGTCTAGTCTTGCTTCGCCTGTTCGTGCTGCTCGCACTAGTAGTCGTGTTCCGCGTCCGCGTCCTCCTGCGGTCGCAGGCACACACCAGATGGCACTGCATCCTTCCACTGCTCCTCTGCGTGTCCCGTTGCCGTCTCCTCCAGAGTCCTCTCTTCCTGTTCTTGCTGACCCGAAGTCTGACTCTCTTCGTGCTGCCAGTCCTACTGTCACGCGTCTCCTGGCTACTGTTGTCACTAACCCTTCCTTTGAGTCCACTGCTGCGTCTGCCTTAGTTGTTGAGCTTGTGGACTTTGCTGCGCACTGTCGTCTAGACTACGCCGCTAGTCTGGTTGCTGAGTCTGACTCTGTCTGTCCTCCGTCCGTCGGGGGTGAGTGTGCTCTTAGCACGGACGTCCTTGAGGACACGCAGGAGGAGTTCTAGTATTTTGCTGCTGCTTTTCCTCATCTTGTGTCCACGCTGATTGCCCTTGAGGGAGACCCGGATGCACTAGACATCCCGCCTTTTCAATCGTATGCTGAGGGGATCGAGGGTCCCAACTCCTCTCAGTGGCAGTCAGCCATGGACGCAGAGATGGCTTCCTGGAAGTCCACAGGCACCTACGTCGACGAGGTTCCCCCACCTGGGGCGAACATCGTCAGTGGCATGTGGATTTTCAGAGTGAAGCGGCCGCCGAGTTCTCCGCCTGTCTTCAAGGCGCGTTACGTGGCTCGAGGCTTCAGTCAGCGGCAGGGAATTGACTACTTTCAGACCTTCTCTCCCACCCCGAAGATGACCACTTTTCGAGTGTTGCTGCACATCGCCGCTCAGCGTGACTACGAGCTTCTCTCTCTTGACTTCAGCACAGCTTTCTTGCAGGGCAGCCTGCACGAGGAGATCTGGCTGCGCCGCCCACCTGGCTTCACTGGGTCGTTTCCTCCTGGTACCCAGTGGAGCCTCCGGCGGCCAGTCTACGGTCTCCGCCAGGCGCCCCGTGAGTGGCACGACACACTGAGGACTACACTTGCGGCTCTTGGGTTTGCTCCTTCTACTGCCGACTCGTCGCTGTTTCTGCGCACCGACACCTCTTTGCCGCCGTTCTACATCCTCGTGTACGTCGACGACTTGGTCTTTGCTACTGCTGACACTGCTGGACTCGCCCACGTGATGTCGGAGCTGCAGAAGAGACACACGTGCACAGACCTGGGTGAACTCCGCAGCTACCTTGGCTTGCTGATCACTCGGGGCAGAGCACAGTGCACCATTACCCTGACTCAGTCACACATGGTGCAGCAGGTCCTTCAGCGCTTTGACTTCACGTACTCCTCGCCTCAGGCCACTCCTCTGTCTACTCGCCACTCGCTCTCAGCTCTGCCTTCGGATGAGTCCGTAGAGCCGAGTGGTCCATACCCAGAGCTTGTTGGCTGCCTCATGTACCTGATGACCTGCACTCGACCTGACCTTGCATACCCTCTTAGCATCTTGGCAGGCTATGTTGCTCCTGGGAGACACCGACCAGAGCACATGGCTGCAGCGAAGAGGGTGTGGCGCTACTTGTGCAGTACGCCGGGCATGGGGCTAGTGCTTGGAGGGCGACGTCGAGTGGTCCTCACAGGTCACGCAGACGCTTCTTGGGCTGACGACCAGGCTACGCAGCGGTCGTCACAGGGTTACACGTTCAACCTTGGTTTCGGCTCTGTTTCGTGGCGGTCTACCCGCTCGTCTTCTGTTCTTGGCTCTAGCTGTGAGGCTGGGATCTACGCGCGGGCCATGGCTGCACATGAGCTACGCTGGCTCACCTACGTGCTAACTGATCTAGGAGAGCCGCCTCGTTCTCCTCCAGTTCTGTACGTAGAGAACAAGGCCATGCTGGCCTTGTGTCGGGAGCACAGAGTGGAGCACAGAACGAAGCACATTGCTCTTTGCTACTTCCTTGCTCGTGAGCTGCAGCAGCGTGGTCAGCTGCGCCTTGCTTACGTGGCCTCTCAGGCCAACACTGCTGATATCTTTACCAAGGCACTTCAGCCTTGTGATCATCAGCGCTTTTGTACGATGCTAGGTCTTGTGCCTACTTGGCCTCACTTGCTCACTTCTTGACCTTTCTTGTACTGTGATATATCTATACCTGCACTTGCTTGTTTGCCTTTATATATGATCCTGCATGCGAACTGGCCTTGTGGCCTTGAACTTGTGCTCGGAATGTGTGGTGACATTGTGATCCACCCTGAGCTTACTGTGCTTTGCTTGACTGGTCTTGTGACCTCTTGTTCTCCCCCACTTTGCCTATGGGGGTGTGTCAAACATATTTACTATAGTCTGTGTAGGCTGTAGCGGGGTAGACAATATGGAGTACAACACTTTTAGGTTTTCCTACTTGTACCCACGTGTTTCCTAGTGCACACATTCCTCGTTCTTTGACACAGCATCCACACCGCACACCCCCATGCTCGCCACCCCACAGCCCCCACCAACGTGGAACGCACAGCGGCACGGGAGGAACGGGCAGCAGGGGGGGGGGGGGGGGGGGGGGGGGGTGGGGGGACGGGACTGAAGGGGGGGGGGGGCGCGCGCTCCTCCTCAGGGCGCCAAAACGGACGTCCGGGGGGGCGCGCGCAGTTCCCCAGTGCGCCGCGACGGACGGGCGGGGGGCGCGCGCGGCTCTCCTAGGCAGCGCGGCGAGCAGATGGGCCGCGCGTAGCCTGCAAACCCGCGCGTGACCTGTAGGGCGACGCGTCGGGAAGGTCGGGGGCCGCGCGCTGCTCCCCAAGGCCGCACGACGGGCAGACGGGCCGCACGCGCCCTGCAGACCCGCGCGCGGCCTGCAGGGCGACGCGACGGGAAGGGTGGGGTGTTGCGCGCGGGTCCCCCACGGCAGAAAACCCCCGCGCGCCCCGAGCGCACGGCGGGATGAAGAAACCCTAAAAATTTTCGCCGCGCGCGGAGCGCGGGGCAGGAAGAAGATGTCGCGCGCCTGAGGCGCGTGAGAAGTAGAATAGCAGCGGAAGCAGTTAGGTGGCGGGCTCACCCATAGGATCGACCCAAGGGGGTCGACCTGCTCTGAAACCATGTCAGAAACAAGAAGTCAGGAACAGAAATGAAGAAAGGATGGTTTGCACTAGTAGCAGTTGGCATACATATAGGAAACCCTAATTGGGTTGTACTCGCTATATAGTACCCCACTGCAGGCTAGACAATAATAACATTCTGACAGAGTTACGCAAAGTCACGTGGCATTAAACCAAAATGCATAGAATGTGGTGCACGTAATTATAATAAAGCAGGGGAATAGAATAAGAGCGGTCAGGGTTGCGGGAGAACAGGCACTGAAGGGCGAATTGTGAAGCCAGTCAATCCCAGCCCCGACTCGATGCTTGTCACTCACGTCCAACCCCTCGATGCTTCTTGCTTGTTATTCTCTCGTATCAGTGGAAGTTGTCACCTTAGCTTCTAGCATATAGTGGCACATACTAGGAGGGAACCTTTAGGGGTGAGCGAGCCATCTCGTTCATAACAAGCAAGCAGTATAGATACGTAAAATGGACAAGTACGTGTGCTGGGGCGGGGTCTTTTTATACGAGAAGAGGAACGGCCGCGGCATGAGCACTCACAGGAACGCGGGCGGTCCCTGGAGCGATCACCCAGGAGGCCCGCCTTTTGCGCGGAACGGGTTCTCGTCGAGCCGTCCCGACGACGGAGGTTTGGCGCACGGCGGAACAGCGGTGAAAGGCTCGTCACGCCGGCGAGCGGCGCGCCATGGCGGAGAGACGCATTCCACCTGACCGGAGGAGAGCACCGTCATCACCACGACAGTGGGGTGTTCCGCTCCCTAGAAGAGGGGAGGCAGCGACGCGATCAGCAAGGTCGCTAGCGGGGACGGGAGGAGACCCTGCGCGGTTGGGGCGAAGGCTCTGGCCTTAACCGAGCCGAAGGAAGTTCACAGGCCCAACTGACACAGGAGGACGGAGCGATGGACGAGGATGAGGAGCACGAGCCAGTCTACGAACAGGCGGGCGAGAACCATCATGTACCGGACGGAGCTGAGGAAGGAGAATCCACGCCGACCAATGAAACTGCCGACGCGGCCGACGCGGCAGATGAGGAAGTGGGTGAGGCGTGGAAGGAGCCGCACGAGGAAGGTTCTGAATGTCAGGGAGGACACCGAGCAAGCGACGCGCTGCAGATCCGGGAGGAAGACGTGCACGAGCTGTAGGTGCGGGGATCGCGCGGGGGTTGAGAATCCGAGCACGCGCGCACGCTAGAAGGGCAGCGACGGCGGGCGGGGCAGCAAAAGGTCGGAGCGTGCTTGCCAAGGGGACCTTCGTCAAGATCAGAACGGCTTGACGACACGATGCAGCAGCGAGGAGAAGAGCAGGAGAGTGAATGGCGTAAGGCCGGTTGTCAGCAGGCACGCGGAGGAGGGCAATATGGGGAACCTCGTGGGCACCAGGAAGGACGATTGAGGGGACAATGATGCTCGCCGCGCCAAAAGAGATGGTAAGACAAGAGGCCAATTGAAGAGTCACACTCGCCCGACTGACGCCGCGTGTGAGAGGGAAGGCTACACGAGGCGAGATACTCACCAGTCAGCCGTCGGCAGCAAGGGAGGGGCAGGGAAGGACGGTCACCATCCCCTTTATATGTGGATCCTATGAAATTCTTCTCTATTGAGAAGTTTATGGGGGAGGAGTATGAGCACTGGAGCTTCCGTATGAGGCTCATGTTTGCCTGTGGACTTCCAGGATGCCGTCCATGGCTATCTGCCATTGAGAGGAATAGGGACCCGTAATCGCCTCTGCGTAAGAGCGCGCGGTCGGGATATTTGGTGCATCCGAGTCTCCCTTAGGTGCAAGCAGAATGGACACAAGATGAGGTACAGCAGCTGCAAGACACTCAAAGTCCTCCTGCCTATCCTCAAGGACGTCCGTGCCAAGAGCACACTCACCCCCGACGGACGAAGGACAGTCAAACTTAGAGTCGGCAACAGCAAAGTCAAGAAGCTCAGCAACTAGGTAGATGCAGCAGTGGACTCAAACGAAGGGTCGGTGATAACAGCGGCTAGAAGACGTGTGACAGTAGGACTGGCAGCACGAACTAAGTCAGACTTAGAGTTCGGACCGTCAGCAAGAGAGGACGCAGGAGGAGACGGCAAAGGGTGACGCTGTGGAACACAAGAAGGACGAAGTGCCATAGGGTGAGTGCCGGGAACAGGAGGAGGACGCGAACGCGTAACACGATGACTAGTGCAAACAACGCGAAAGGGCGTGGCAGGACGAGACGTAAGCTCACGACGCTCTGTAAGAGAGTCCGTCTGCTTAGTGTAAGGAGAAGGAGCAGGCGGTGGGGAGGCTGGCTGTAACTGTGGCTGCGATTGGCCAGGCGGTGGACACAGTAGAGGTGGAGTAAGGTCAGTAGAGGACGGGAGACTAAGAACCTGGCGAAGTAGTGGAACGAGGTACAGTCACCGCCGCACAGTGCCTCCAGCACCAGTACCGACAGCTCCAGCACCCCCAGCGCCAGCTCCAGGGTCCCCAGCTCTAGCGCTTGTTGCAGCACCAGCTCCAATAGCTCCAGCACCTCCAGCACCTCAAGTACCAGCAGCACCACCAGCTCCGGCAGCTCCAGTACCTCCAGCACGAGCACCTCCAAGACCAGCACCTCCGGTACCTCTAGCTCCAGCATGACTGCCAGCACCTCCAGCCCCAGCAGCACCACCAGCGCCGGCAGCTCCAGTACCTCCAGCAAGAGCACCTCCAGGACCACCATCTCCAGCACCTCCGGTACCTCCAGCTCCAGCAGGACCCCCAACACCTCCAGGACCAGCACCTCCAGCACCTCCAGCTCCAGAGTCTCCAGCGGCAGGCCCCCCAGCTCCAGCAGCGCCATTCCGAAGGTGGGTGCGCCAAAAACTACTCGCGTAGCTGTAGTGGAGAGAGAGGCTCCCGCCATGACGAGGCACCCGTAGGACCTCCAAAAGACACAGTAACTCTAGGCTCAGCACCCCCAGACCCAGATTTCCCAGGCTCCGCTTGCTCAAGCTGAGCACCCTCAGGCTCCGCACCTTCAGACTCAGCAACCCCAGGCTCAGCACCCGCAAGCTCCGTACGCTCAGGCTCAGCACCCCAAGCAGCACACCCCTCAGCAGCACCAGAGTCGACAGCTACCTCGACAGGCTCAGCCAAGGGGAGTGGGTCTACCTAAGACACACCTCAGGGAGCAGGACCCTGAGGGGGGAGGGGGTCTACCAGAGGAGGACCTGATGCGAGGAAGAGCGGTGGGGGGGAGAGAGGGGCAGTGCGGTAGGGAAAGAGATGATAGAAAGGAACCGACTCGTCAAACGTGACGTCCTAAGAGGGCAGGACACGGCGTGAGGTGGGGTGGTAAAACTGCCAGCCATGCGCGTCAGGAGGAAAGCCAAGGAAGACGCAGGGAATGGCGCGGGAGGAGATCTTGTCCGCGAAAAAATCGCGGACAAAGACACGAGAGCCCCATACCCAGAACACCGACGCATCCCCAACCTTCCCCGTCCAACCCAATGTAGGTGAGGTCTCCGGCAAGGAGACATGGGGCCAGAGGTTGAGCTCATGCGCAGCGTACCGGACCGCAAACGGCCACAGAATGGGGAGCAGCCGCATGGATCATGGAGGTACAAGCGACCTCCATGACTAAGCCAATGCGGCGCTCAGCAACCATATTCTGCTGCGGAGAGGCCGGAAGCGTGAACGAGTGACGGATGCCCTCCCCACGACAAAAGTCCCGCAAGAGTGCAGACGCAGGACAAGAAGGTCCATGTGGAACTGCTCGCGGAGAAGGAGATGGACAGCGCGGATCCAAGGGATTAAAACATTAGAGACCTCCCTCTTGCTTTACAAGGGGAAGACCGTGGTGTAACGCGAGTAGTTATCAGCCAGCAGACAGTATCGCTCGCGGCCCTGTCCACGGACGCGGGCTGGGCCCCACACGTCCATGTGGAGAGTCTGCAGGGGAGCTGTCGTTGGAAGAAACGAGGAGGAGTGAGGAGCGGCGCGCTGACGCCCCTCGACACAGGGAAGGCAGGGAGGGGCAGGCGAGGGTGGGAGGGGAGGCAAAGACCTGGGAAGACAAGAGACAAGGAGGCGGGAGTGCATGCCAAGGAGGCGTGAAGCTGAAGATGGCAACCTCGAGCTCGCGGCCATGGTTGCCTTCAGTTTGCCTGGAACTCACATTGCGTGAAGCTCAGTTACCAGCTGGCTTTAATTTCACCGGCATTAGTCTCGCACACCTTTACGAAGAAGCCTATACCTTTTATGTGTTCAACAGACAAACATTGATTGGCCTTGTCTAGGGTGTCTCCTGCTGCTGGTCCAAGAAACGAAGATCAATGCTAACGCGTGTTTTCCCTAGGTCGCGGTCTACCAACAAGGTGCTACCTAAGCTACCTACCATTGGCTAAGCAGATGCTGTGCAACGGGATGATCCCGAAGTATTATAATCGGTGTCACAACATCGGGTGTTAGGAGCAATGGTCTAGCACGGGAGGCTATTACCTATTCAACACAATTTTGCTCAAGCAACCGGCTCATCAGCTTCATCAGCTTCTTCAGCTATTCTCTTCTACGTTTTTGCCGGACTTCTGTCATCATTGCACGATGCCTCCAAAACGCTCACGCAATAAGGTGGTGGAGGACGCTCCTGCCGGGGGTAGTAATCCTGCAGGCAAAACGACACCGAGCAAGGGGAAGAAAGTCATTGACAATCTCCCGTCAGAGGCGGAAGTGACGGCAGGTGGCTCTGGTCTCACCATTGAAGAGAAGCTGAAAGCACTTGCAACGTTGAAGATGACTCTGACGAGGAGTTCGAGATTGACACGGCTAAGAGCGCTCACCCGCATCTGCACTTCACGGCGATTATGCTATTTCCGGTTATCCCTTCTCGTGAAGTTGCTTCGGTGATCTTAACCGTGAGGATGCTGATGAAGCGTGTCTGGTCCAATCTACTTACCAGCGACGTTCTTGCTTCGGTGAAGTTCCTGGAGCTGCTCCCGGCCTTCGTCACGAAGATCCGTTACAGCCGGCTCCAGGTTTCTTTCCTGCACAAATCAGACGCGGTGAACATCAAGCAAACGGCGGTGGAACACAAGTGTCAGAATGGCACGACGCTTCATTGTTTCTGGCTGCATCAGGAGGACGCGGCTTTCATTCGCAAGAAGGCTTCGAACCCGCAGCTGCTGGAGGTTTTCTTAAAAAACGTACCTGCTGGCATTCCGCCGGAGTTGGTTAAGGAAGTCGTGGTTGCTCACCCGCTCAGGATCCGGAAGCAGTCCGCGTTTGCTGAAGGTCACTGCTTCCACCGCGTCCTTTACCGTGTCACGGTGCTGACACTGACAAGATAAAGGGACTGGTGGCTCAGCACGCTGGCAACAAGAACCACTGGCGCCATGAGTTCCGGCACCAGATGCTGGGAGGAACGATCCTGTTGGTCCACTACCCGTTCCTATCCTGTTCGCTCTGTGGTGGACACCATTATGACAAGTATCATAATGCTTTCATCACGGAGCGTCAGAATGACATAGGGAAGTGGAGTTTGACGGTGGGACGAGTTCATGGGATTAACGATAACTGCTGCTTACGTTTTTCGGATTGTCGATTTACCTCTCTTATCTTGTTAGGCGCTGACGTGCCGCTTGTCTCTCACAGCTGCCTCTCTCCGCGCTTCTCCGCCCATTACCCCGCTCTTGCTGGATGCGGCCTTTGTGTTGATCTCCACTAGGAGCAACATGGAGGAATGGCTATGTACCCTCGACAACTACGGGAAGGCTCACGGCAAGTCGTTCATGGCTGCGGAGGATCATGTCACATCGGCAAGTCACCTGCTGGGTCTGGAGAAGCTGGCTGCGGCCACCCGCAACTCCCTGTAGAACCTTGGTCTGCATGTCATCCGCAAGGAGTTGGAGGTCTGAACTTACAAGCCTGGGGAGGTGCTGGGCAGCTGTAGTGGTAGTCTGTTATCTGGTTGTAGTATCTTGTATCACCGGCCTGTGGATGCGAAGGGGCCTTTCAGCAGTGGTTCAATGAGTACAAAAAGCTTACTGACGTTTGCAGGCCTGCATGTCAACGGCCTGGGAGATGGGAACAAGCAACAGCGAATAAAGAACTCGATAAAGCAAGCAGCAGACATCACCCTTACTGGAACTCACTTAGGCAACCACAGGTCCTAGTCGCTCCACCTACAGCCAAGGCTAGCGGAGTGGCTGTGATCTCCCAGAGGCATGGGCTATCGCTGCCGAAATACTCTCATCCACTCGTCCAGCCGACTGATAGCTGCCGAAATCCGCCACGACACTCTTCACATCCCCTTGATCACAGTCTACTTCCCCGCCGATGACGCTGATCGTACGATGTTCATCCGCTGAGTGCTGGGCCCTTTCGTAGACACGGTTCAGCCGGGGTCTCACCTGCTCATCCTAGGGGATTTCAATCTGGTTGAAGACCCATTGCTGGACAGAACATCGAGGAAGGGGGCAACGAAAGATAATGAGGAGCTATACCGTTGCTATGATGCTTTTTGCCTCTCGGATGCCTTCAGAGTGCTCCATCCGTACAAAAGAGAGTTCACCCTTTACTCCTGCGCTAACCAGTCCAGCTCGCGGATCGACAGGGCACTGATATTGCAATCACTGCTGTCGCATGTCGAATTCGTCATGCACATCATGCTGGCTGACCCTTATCTCGGATCACAGCTTTGCTGTGAAGGCGGCTTTCAGGATGGATACACGCGTGCAGCTGGGTCCTGGGCTCTGGAGACTTCCTGCATACATGTTAGACGGACCGGGGGTCAGGAAAGTAATCAAGCGGATTCATGCGGTGATGGTCTTGAGCTTTTAATTGCACGACTCAATGCTACTCTCCGAGCATATGCGAAAGAGGAGCGTAAGAGGGTACGGGTTACGATGTCTCAACTTCACCGGTCGGTTGCGGAGATGAAGCAGGCGTGGCTGAGGGACCCGGGGTGTGCTCGGCTGAAAAGCATGCTGGACGACAAGGAGGCGCAGCTGAAAAGCTATCATCTGGTACGGTAGGAGAGGCTGCATGTAATGGCGGGGATGAAGGAAGAGGTCATGGGTGAGGTGGCGTCCTGCACCTGTCGGCAAAGATCAAGGCCAGGAAGGGGCGCAGACAAATTTCCGAGTTAAATGCTGGCGGGAGGTTGGTCAATGACAACAGCGCTATCCTAGGCGCACCGTCACAGTACTACAGGGAGCTCTTTGGAAGGGACAAGCAGCAGGCTGAGACCACATGGCTTCCTGCACCCGGGAGGTTCCTAACGCAGAAATCAGCAGATGCGGTGTGCGCGGCCTGGACGGAGAAAGAAGTAAGGAATGCCTTTCACTCGATGGTAAAGAATAAAGCCCCGGGGAAAGACGGGTTGCCGAAAGAGTTGTTCGAGCTTCACTAGGATGTCCTGGGCAAACACTTCATGAAACTCGTGGATAGTTTCGCGACTACGGTGTCGCTGCCGACGAGCACAAAGGAGGCCGTCACTATCCTGCTGCACAAGAAGGGGGGGCGGGATCAGCTACTACAGATCGATCACGCTTTAAGTTTCACCTACAAAGTGATTGCACGAGTGGTGGCGGACAGAATGAAAAAGGTGTTGCATGAGGTCATCTCCCCAGAGCAATACGACTTCTTACCCGGGCGAAGGCTGTCGGACGCAGTTGGTTTGGTCGCAGATGTCATCGAAGGTGCGAGGAACAAGGATCGGGACTAGTAACTCTTACTGGTTGACTTCAAGAAAGCCTTCGACTCGGTGTCGAGGGACTTTTTGTTCACGCTGCTCGAGAGGATGGGGTTCCCAAGTCGTTTTGTGGACTAGGTTCAGGGCCTGTACAAGGACACATGGACCAGTTTGTTAATCAATGGCTGGATGGGTGAAGCGGTTGACGTGGTGTCCGGGGTGCGTCAGGGCTGCCCGCTAGCGCCTTACCTTTTCTTATGCATGGTGGAGCCACTGGCTTGTCAGAACATTATAGCTCATGCATATTGTGTAGGCTATAGCGCGGTAGCCCATAAGGGGTACAACCCAATTAGGGTTAGTACTTGTACCCAATTCATTCATAGTTCATCCATTCTCGTTTCTTCTCATGGTATCGAGCAGGTTCCCTAATGGGAACGATTCCTAGGGCCCACCACTACGAATTTTTTTTTCCCTGCCCGAAGCGCGCTCCGCTTAGGCCCGAGTCGCGCCTCGTGTGCCTTCCTTACCGTCGCGCCTCGTGTGCCTTCCTTACCGTCGCGCCCTCACTAGGCCCCTCACGGCGACGAGGAGGAGGAGGAGGAGGTCGTGGCTCTTCGCAGAGGAGTGGCTCCGGTGGTGGTCAGCGCCATAAGCAGCAGCGCAATCTGGAGACCCTGTCCCCTCAGCAGCTCCGTGAGTGGTACTCTGCACGCCAGCGGGGTGGGGGTACAGGTCCGTGCACCTACGTCCTGCGCACCGGCGACCGTGCTGGTGAGCAGTGTGGGGGTGCGCACCCCACCCAGCGCTGCTTTGGCCGCCTGACGGACGCTTGGCGTCACCAGTTCCCTGAGGCCACTGAGATCCCTCGCTGGGGCGAGCTGTCTAGGGCAGGGGTAGCTATCTTTGACCTTGACTTTGATGCTATTCTTGCTGCTATGTATACTGTGTCTATAAGTGAGGAGGGTGACTGTTACCGGTGTTTTCCGCCCGACCCGGGCATTGAGACTACTGCTCTAGGTGCTGGTGAGGCTGCTGCTCTTGGTGCTAGCAAGGCTGCTGCTCTGGGTGCTAGTGCGTCTGCTTCCTCCGGTACTGGTGAGTCTGCGCTCTCAGGTACTGCGTCGGCTTCGGCCTCCCACACCTTCACACTTGACTCGGGGGCTTCTCGCTCCTTCTTTCGAGACCGCACCACACTCACGCCGCTTGGTCGGCCAGTTGCAGTCTCCGTGGCAGACCCCTCTGGGGGTCCTGTCCTTGCTCAGTTCTCCACTGTCCTCCCGTGTCCGGTGGCCCCCTCTGGCACCCTGTCTGGTCTTTACCTCCCCTTGTTCTCTACGAACTTGGTGAGTGGTGCTGACCTACAGGATGTAGGGGTTCACCAGTTCACTCCTGCGAGTCAGCGGGTGACCCACTGCACGGACGCTCGAACAGGCCGACACCTGGCCACGTTTACACGTCGGCCGGGGTCGAGCCTGTACACACTGACCACTGCGTCTCCTCCAGTCCCTGCGTCTGGTCAGGTAGCTGCGTCGGGTCAGGTGTTAGCTGCAGCGTCCAGGTCTGGTCATGAGTCTGCCCCCTGCTCGTGTCGCCTCCTGTCTCACGAGACTCTCCTCTGGCACCACCGCCTTGGTCACCCCTCCCTGCTTCGTCTCCGAAGCATGGCCTCCCGTGTCCTTGTCTCTGGTCTTCCCCAGTCCCTCCCTCCCCTTCCTCCAGGGCCTGGCCCTACCTGCGTCCCCTGTGTCGAGGGGCGGCAGCGGGCTACCCCTCACTCCTCCCAATTTCCTCCGACAGAGGCCCCGCTGCAGACGCTTCACATGGACGTGTGGGGCCCAGCCCGCGTCCGTGGACAGGGTCACGAGCGCTACTTCCTGCTGGTGGTTGATGACTACTCGCGTTACACCACAGTCTTCCCCTTGCGCAGCAAGGGTGATGTCACTGGGGTGTTGATCGACTGGATCCGCGCAGCTCGTCTCCAGCTCAGGCAGAGCTTCGGCTCGGGCTTTCCTGTTCTGCGTCTGCACTCTGACAGAGGCGGAGAGTTCTCCTCTGGCCTTCTGCGAGCCTACTGTCGTGCACGAGGAATCCGCCAGACCTTCACGCTTCCGGACTCTCCACAGCAAAATGGGATTGCTGAGCGCCGCATTGGCATGGTCATGGACGTCGCCCGTACGTCCATGATGCATGCGACTGCCCCCCATTTTCTGTGGCCGTTTGCGGTTCGGTACGCGGCGCATCAGATCAGCCTTCAGCCCAGGGTCTCCATGCCGGAGACCTCCCCAGCTTTGCTGTGGACGGGGAAGGTTGGCGATGCGTCTGCGTTCCGTGTCTGGGGATCTCGGGCGTTTGTCCGCGACTTGTCTGCGGACAAGCTGTCCCCTCGTGCTGCTCCTTGCATCTTCCTGGGTTTCCCCCCTGACGCGCCAGGGTGGCAGTTCTACCACCCCACCTCTCGCCGTGTTCTGTCCTCCCAGGACGTCACGTTTGACGAGTCGGTCCCCTACTACCGTCTCTTCCCCTACCGCACTCCGTCCCTCCCCCCGCCACCGCTCTTCCTTGTGCCAGGTCCCCCCCCGGTAGACCCCCTCCCCCCTAAGGGTACTGCCCCTTCAGGTGTGTCCCAGGTAGACGCTGTTGAGCCTGTCGAGGTCACTGGTGACTCTTGTGCTGCTGAGGGTGCTGAGCCTGTGGGTGCTTGTCAAACATTATATGTTTATGTGGTTCTAGGCTGTAGTGGGTTACACCTTAGGGGGTACACCGGATTAGGGTTTCATATTTGTACTCTTGTTCCTGTTAGTCACATCATTCTCGTTTCTCATTCTAACATGGTATTACGAGCCTAGGTTTCACCTAGGACCGAAACGTTAGGGCCCACCGTTTCCGCTAGCCGCGCCCTAGTGCGCTGCCTTTTCCTAGCGCCCTCGTGCGCCTCGTTCCTCGCGTCGCCCTTTAAGGCCTCTCACGGCCCCTCGCGTCGCCCCTTAAGGCCTCTCACGGCCCCCCCTTACGACCCCGTGCTAGCCCCGAACGGCCCCGTGCGGCCCCCGCGCTAGCCTCCCCCGGCCCCTTACGGCCCCGCGCTAGCCTCCTACGGCCCCGAACGGCCCCGCGCTAGCCCCGAACGGCCCCTTGCGGCCCCCGCGCTAGCCTCTCACGGCCCCTTAAGGCCCCGCGCTAGCCTCTCATGGCCCCCGAATGGCCCCGCACTAGCCCCGAACGGCCCCCGAACGGCCCCCGCACTCGCCTCGAACGGCCCCCCCGCGCTCGCCCCTCTACGACCGAGCCGCGCAGCGCGACCCCAGCTGAACCGCGCGACCCGAGCCGAACCGCGCGACCCGACCGAGCCGCGCCGCCCTAGCCGAGCCGCGCCGCCCTAGCCGAGCCGCGCCGTCCTAGCCGAGCTGCGCCCTCCTTACCTGAGCAGCAGGGCCAGTACTGGACTGAACTGCTCCTACTGCTACTGCTACTGCTACTGTTACTGCTACTGCTACTACTGCTGCTACTTCAACTATGGCTAGCCCTACAGTTCTCTCGTTCGATGTTGAGGGCCGCCCGATTAAGTTTGAGACCTGGCTCGATGATCTGCACCTGTTCCTCCAGCTCACTGCCAGGGAGGATGTCTCGCTGTACGATCATGCACTAGGCAAAGCTGCTGCCCCTGCTACTGATGCTGACGCCACTACCCGCTCCCAGTGGCAGACTCGTGACGCCCACGCTCGCTTCGCTATTCGCAACTCCCTGCCTGTAGATGAGCGCGAGCACTTCGGCCAGCACAGGACTGCCCAGGCACTGTACACTGCTGTAGTTGCGCGCTACTCCTCCCCAGCCTCTGCTGCGCTAGGCCGTCTCTCGCTTCCCTACCTGTTCCCTGACCTGTCCGCCTTCCAGACAGTCGCTGACCTCATCACGCACCTCCGCACTAGTGAGGCCCGCTTCCGTGCCGCTATGCCTGCTGAGTTTCTTGCCTCCAACCCTCCCCCGCTCTGGCTCACTCTCTACCACCTAGTTACCCGCCTCCCTGACACTCTGCGTACAGTCAGGGACAGCTTCCTAGCCCGCTGCCCCACTGGGCTCACCATTGCCACCCTCGAGAAGGAACTCCTTGCAGCTGAGAAGAGTATTGTAGCTGTAGGTGCCTCTCGTGGTGACCCCCGCACCCCTTTCTTCGAGGGGTGTTCCCCCTCCCCCCTGCTCCCCTCTGTCGCCTCTGCTGCTGCTGTCGACCTCTTTGGTGCTGAGCAGGTCGGGTCTGCGTCCGCTCCCAGCGGGCGCCGCAGCGGCAGGGGCAGGGGAGGCAAGGGCGGTGGGGTTGATGGCGGGGGAGGCGGTGATGGGGGT